AGTCCGTTGAGAACAATCTGGACGAGCAAACGGTCGTGTTTATCTTTGCCGTGAATCGAGATAAATACAAGAAGGAATCTAGCCGAATTTTAGAATGTTTCCTTCGCCAGGAGTTTAGTTTCGTCACGAAACTCATGGCCTGATGCTCTTGTAATCGTTTACAAAAAACGGCCGCCGCCAACTCGATAGCCCCTTCATTATATGTCCATATACTTTGAGCACAAGAAAAATCCAAGAGCCAGCAGCCTCTAAAATAACTCAATAGAAAGGTCCTGTGAACTATAGGGAAGATTCCATCAAAGATTCCATCACTCATTGTGGAGTAGCCGTCATTAACTCTGCCATTACAACGGCCGCTGATAAGAGGACACAGTAAAGCCACGTAAAAACATTCCACAGGCAAACAATTTTAAAATAACGCCAAAAAATTGTTCTGTAATCACCATAGAATGATTCTTAATACAAAACTTCGCTAACTATCGAACGATGGCTGAGATTTAGACAGATAAAAACAGCCTTCCAAAATCTCCGACACAACTTGAAAAAGTTGGGCTGTCTTTTTCAAGTTTGTCTTCATTGGCTCGCGCATGCGTGTTGGGTGACATAGCCCCTTTAAGTGACCGACATATTTGGAAGATTATTACCCATACTCAACTGCGGGCGGTATCACGCGATCTCTGTTTGGTCACGCACGTCGGTACCCCAACATTCATTGCGGTCAAACGAGGCGAGAGTTGTTGTCTGTAGCAACAAAAATATAAATATAAAAAGGCTAAAAGACGGCAAAACACGAATCCTATTTATTTTAATAATAATAATAATAATAATAATAATAATATTTATTATTTGGTATTACGCAAATTAACATATAAATGATCAAATGCGCATTACAAACTATTAAAGCTAACTAAAAATATGTTAATTATCGAATTAAACATGAATATATCCGTAAATGACACCTAACTTAATTATTTAGTACTTAACCTATTACTTACAATAATTATAACTAAAAGAAATGTTATATGTTTCATTAAAATTGATAAAAAAAGAGAGTAAAATTAATGTACACCTATGTACAATTAAAAATTGTATGCAAGTTTATAATAATAGCAATAGTTGTCCTGTTTCCTAATGTCCTTCGGTAAAATGTTCCAGATTCTAGGGGCGGCTACTTTGAAAGTCCTGTCTCCAAGTGTCTTCTTTGATCGTGCACTATAATCCTCGAGTAACATCTCCCCGTCCGATCTAAGATTATATCTGGTGGTACTCTTAACTTTTATTAGATCCTTAAGGTATTCGTGTGTGTTGCCATAGATACACTTATGAGCAAGCATTGCTATCTTAAAATTTACCCTATACATTACTGGAAGCCAATGTAAATTAACAAGTGTAGGAGCAATGTGATCATACTTTGCAAAGTTACTAACAAGGCGAGCCGCTGCATTTTATAAACGCTGTAATTTGCTTAGCTGGGTGGATGGAACACCAACCAAGAGGCTATTACAATAATCTATACGTGACATTATAACTGCTTGAACTATAGACTTCCTGTCATCATAACTCAGATACCTACTAATGCGTTTAATGTTATACAGATGATAAATAGCAGCTTGGCACGTTTCATTTATGTGTGCAGACATTGTGAGGTTCGTATCAAGCCACGTCCCGAGGTTCCTGACAATCGTTACAGCTGGCACTTTTGCTTGGCCAACCACAATTTCAGATACATTAACTTTATCTAATTGAGCACGTGTGCCAATAATCATAAATTCCGTTTTGTCATCGTTTAGTTTTAACCTATCTGCGATTTTTATTATTTTAGTTTATATATTTATTTATTTTTCCAAGAAAACAGTAAAAAGTGCTGCTGCTAGGATGGAATCGCACTTTCACGAATTCGAATTTTTTTTCTTTCTACAGTCACACCTCCATGTGCGACTACCTACCACTTTCGCAGTCAAAGCCATACAGTTGGAACATCTAGTAAGCGACCACCTCCTGTAAGCGACCGCGACCACTTTCTGGGCCTCTAACCTCTTGTAAGCGACCACTTGATGCATTCTCTGATCTCTACCTTATGTTCGCTGTGTGCACTCTGCCAAAAGGCAGTGGTTTGCTAGTACCCCAGGCGATTTGACACCTCCCTCCAGACTAGTTCGCGCGGCTACGCTGACTCACTTTGCTGATCTGGTTAAGACGTCAGCGACGAGGCCGAAACTTGGCTGTCCATATCCTAAATACTGTGGATATTCCCCGTGGAGTTGCCAGCGAAGACTATACCAACTGGATCGTGGCCAAGGACCTCACCCATAAGGCCCTGTACTATCATACCTACAATGATCTGACCGTCCGCGTGATATATCTTGACAAGGTACAGCCACAGGGGAAGAGGCTCAAGCTTTCGCTGTCGACATCCGTCGGGGGCTTTAAGGATACCACCGATGAGCTGAAGTTGTTAACAGTTTTTTGTTCCGTTACAGTTAACAGTATGGGTACCCAAGGTTGAGCCTTCGTATGAGGCGCTTGGAACACACGTATTAGATCCAAGCGCCTTCTACGCAGGCTACCCGAGGTTGATCTATTCCAATTTCAACCCCTTACGTAGAACCACGCCCCGTGTACCACTTATGATGTCATCAAATTGCCTGGGAACGGTGGGTGCGACAATATGTGACTCCGGCTCGAGCGGCTGCGAAGGAGACTAACGTTTCCAACCCTTGCTGTTCGTCAGAGCGAGTTATTTGTTCCATTGCCGGCCTTTCAATCGTTTTAAAGTGGAAAATTCACGTTATCAACTCAATTACAACGAACATATTGGATTAAAAATCTTCATCTATCAGTATTCTGGTAGTTATACTACTACATGAGAAATTTCTGCAATATGATTGGCTTAGAGCAGAGGTATTTCAGCTTAACTCGAAATACCTATACATGTGAAAATTACAAACCGTTTGCCGGTAGTAGTATAAACAAATAATAGCATGATTTGTACGTGATATTCGGCGTAAATACCCTTCGTGATATTTCTAAATGGGCTCGTGAAGTTGCGTATAATAATTTCGAAATCGGTCGGTATAAAGGCTGATACACACATGTCTTGCTATTTTGCGATCTTTTGATCTTATTTTTCCTTACCTAGAACAATTAGCACCGTTTTCACCAACGTAGTCCTCAGTCCGTATTTTATACCCAGTCCGCAGTCCGTGTTTTATACTGACTGATTTCGAAATATCACTCGTGGTATTTATGCCAAATATCAATCACTGCAAAACATGCCATTACCTATAAAAAGCTTTTTGAAAAAAATAGCTAAAACTTTAGACACTGGCAAGGTGTAATCTAGAATGTGGCATTGACGGATTTCCGTGAAAACAATGCTGTCAGTGCGCTCTTTCCTCCGCAGAGGCCTCTTTGTGTCGTGGGGAGACTGGGGCCGGAAAAAGGGAGCGCGGCCTACCTCTCCGCTTGCGTCTCCGCGCGGTTGCTATTTTTTGATTATGGATACCAAGCGGGAACCCCTGCGGATGAGAGAGGTCAGTGAGACAATAGGGGCGCGGAAATGATCTGAAATAAACGTAGAACGTTGTTCATACAAGTAATAATCGCTCTAGTAGCAAGATTAATTATTACTCTAACTCTTAAATCTGAGGGCGAAATCCCATGGTGTTACCGCTCAAATCAAACCTCTTTGGTAAAACGTTTGCATAGTACTACATATTTCTTACATTTTACAAAAGGAAATTTGAATTTCTATTTTTTTCGGCCACCATCAGGTCTATTAGGGGTGAGGGGGTTAAAATTTTAAAAAGTCAAAAATACCCTTTAGTGAATAGCCCTTCTCTATTTTTCAACCGTAAAAAAAAGCAGGTAAAATAGCAGAATACCGACACGACCATCACAGCGTTTCCCCGAATAATAAGCGCGCATGCTCCAATAAGCTCCCTCCCCTTAGACCATAATATCATACAAGCGCCCCCCTCCCCACTCCCTTGCTTTCTTAAATAGTAGCAGCTCCTGATAGTAGGGATGCAAGGGGAATTCGAAGATCCGTATGACATTGAGGAGGATGATCTCGATGGATGATGAGATAATCAATAATTTATAAACATGGATGCATACCAATGTGTAAGTGTTTTATAATGGGACTACGGTACGCTCCCCTCGATTAAGTGCCCTCCTTCCAATAAGCGACCCCGTTTTAGCCGTAATTTTAAATAAGGACCTTGGCGCTTATTCAAGGAAGTACGGTAGCTTTTAAGGAGAGTCGCCAACTTGCAGAATCGCATTACAATCCAGACTGATTCTTAACAAGACATCAAGTAGTTGGCGCGCTTACATGTACCACTGTAGTTGATCACATCAATCTTTTGCAAGCAAAAATATGGAGTTGTGTATTTCGCGTGCCCTGCAAAAGATCAACAGATACTAGTTATATGCTGACTTAACCTATACCAAGAATCACAAGTTATGGCCGACGTAAGTCTATTTGTTACCAAGCTGCGAAAATTTTGAACTTGTTCTCAGACCGTACGAGAACAATAGAATCAATATATGATTTTATGAGAGCCAGAAAAAAAAATCGAACTTTTAGTATTTTAGTCTTAATTATGTATTGTAATAACTCATTAGATTTTAGAATTTTAAATATCAATTATGATTCTTCTATTTATTTATTGTTCTCTAAGATATGAACTCAATAGAGCTACTCTGATAATTCGAGTTGAAATAAAGTGTATGTATGTATGTAGGTAGGTATGTAGGTATGCTTCACCGCCTTTCAAGAACGTTAAGGCGAGTTAAGCAAAGAACAGAGCGAGTTGACAAGAAGCAGGCTTAAATGGAGAGAGGACAAAAAGCGCGTGTTTCTCTCTCTAAATTAACCTTAATTCACGAGCAAACTTTCTGGGGACCGTGGTAATGATTACAGTAAATTGAACAAATTTTGCAACGCCTTAACGCGTCGTAAGGGCTCTCGGGTAAGGAAAATGGCACTGATGACGTTACAGAGTAGCACAGACTGACACAGGGTTAACAGTAAACCCGTCACCAGATCCTCCAAAAGATGGCACCAGCCTGGGTACCCTGTTGCACATAGGACACAACTTATTGCGCACTGCAGAAGAGCGCATCCATATGATTAAATTGATTCTTTCTCCGCTCTGAATTGGTAAGGCACCATGCATGTGCTGTCCCCGATGAAGAAGTCCATAGGTTGGTTTGTGTTCACACTGGGTGCATTCTGTTTCTTTCAAGGGAACCTAAATTCATGAAAAAGGTCAAAAATTAAAAGTGTTTCAGTTAGTGAAGTACTGAAGAAGCTCTGGATTTTAAACCTCAGCACACTGTCAGCAAACTAGAAACAGTGTGAACATCAGGAAAGAATACACCTTGTTATAGGGAAGTAACGATGCACGTTGACAATTCGGACAAAATTTACGTTAAATAAAGTTGACGCGAATTTTCCAAAAGGGAGGTTTACATACATCAAATTAACGAGAAATTTTCAAAACAATGTGCGCCTAACTTTATTTTACGCTGCAATACAAACTTCTTAACAAACATATCTAAAGGAAAAACAGCATTTCCAGTCATCCTAGGGGAAACTGATCAATACGAAGACCAGTCGAAAGACATTTTGAACTCAATTCTTGAAGAAGAACTGTCACATAGTGACTCTGTACTCTGAGGCGTTGATAGAGGAACTACGAGCAGATGAGGTTTTTTATTGAAATAAAGGTGCTGTAAAACAACAATGATGTAAAATAGTGTGATTTAAGTTAACATCGACGTAAATTAAGATGCATCAAATTAACGCTATTTTGTAAATACATTTACCTGCCTCATATCCCCGAAAAAAAGTTCCCCACCGATAAACTCCTTTCCAAGTGACACATTTAAAGTTACTTCAGCATTATCATAATGATAACTGAGATCCAGATCTTCTCCTATCTTGTAATGTACAGTGAATGCCTTGTGTGAATCCAAGGAATCCCCTCCATATTCAGGAAACAATAATCTGGTGATAGGCATCAGGTAATTAGTTCGTAGAGGTGAGAAGAATCCCTCATCAAAGCCAAGCTCGTTGAGTAAGATCTAAGATTGAACATAATAGAATCTAAGCTTCTTTTTCTTTTCCCCCCTTTTTCACTTTTGTACATTTTCATCCTATTATTGCTCATCATTTTCTCTGTTACGATATCAGTATTTATTTCATAATTTAGTCATGTATATTTTTAAAGGTAGTCCCTTTTATAAGCCATACTGACCTACATGGGCTTCGTTGCTTCATCAATTTGAAATTTTGTATGGCAATTTTAATATGTGGTAAAAGATTAATGAATAAATAACAGCATTCTGGGAATTCCCTGATCCCCCATCCTCACTCACAACATACACAAGATCTTCAATAGAGAAAATACAGTATTGATCAGGTTAATGTAGAGGCAGCCAAGAAAGTTGCTATGCTACAGTTTGAAGTTTCTTGTGTCCACCTGACATAATAACAGGGCCCAGTTGTTCGAAGGCCAATTAGCATTAAACCCAGGGTTAAATTTAAACTCGGTTTATTTTTATTTTGCTCAAATGCATTTTCTCAGATAATTTTCTCTGTTGTTTTTAAGAGCATCCAATGATCAACTTGACAAAAAGAATTAAACTGAATTTAATTTTTTAGCTTTTACATCTGAATTCAAATTTTGCCCCAACCCTGGGTTATCTTAACCCAGATTTTAACAGCCCAGCCCAGGAGATAAAGGGTGCATTCCTTTGAGATGAACCAGATCAGGATCAGTGATCCAAGATCACTTGGATCATGGTAGATCAAATGAACTGACGAATCCTTGTCCGGAGTGGATTCATCGCACCATCCCAAAGGAACACACCCAAAGATTCTTTGACTGGAGACAGCATGCAAGGAAAGTCATGTCCGATAACCCTGAGCTAGTGGATTTTGCTATTGGGCTAGTGATTTTTGTTCTTAACTTGACCGATGGGCAAGTGCTGTTTTTTGGGAAATTCAAATTAAAGAAGGATTGTAATCAATCCTGCTAATCAAAAAGGGTCTTGGGGCTAGTTGAAATGACTTGTGGGCTAGTACATTCTTGCTACAGCTTGCCGGAATGGCAGGTTGTAAAAAAGACTTTCTTTGCACCCTGCTGGAGATAACCCGTAGCAGAACTTAGAAGCCCATGCCATACCATCTTGATCCCTACTCTTTTTAATATTTTTAGCCTTAACTCTTTGACACAACAAATACCCTTACTACAAATAAAGTTACTATGATTAATTTTGTAACTTACAGACCTTTCAGTGGGAAGATTGAACAAAAGATACTGTTTTTGAAAGGTCCATGGCAAAATGCCCCTAAGGACTCTTGACTCAAATTCTCTCATGATAACATGAGTTTAAAATGAGATTATAGCAGTTTATCAGAAATTACTTAGAGTTTTATTCCAGAAACCCTTCATTTATAGCTTAATAATTGACTTCAAATTAATAAATACTAACAATATGCCAAAAAAGCCTGCCGTCAGAAAAAGGCAGAAATGAGGATCTCAGTTTTGGATATTTAGAAGTTTTGGAAGGAATATTTCCCATTATTGTGAAATCTCTTGTCTGCTTCTAGATCAACCTCCAACCACTTATTGTTGCTTGTTTTTGCAACATAAGTTTGTATAAAATATAATATAAATATTATTGGATATTTTGTGTGCTTTAAAAAATGCACATGGTAAAGATAGCTAGCTATAAATTAATTTTTTTTTAGATGGAGCTTTGGTGACAATTTCGCATAGTTACAGCCCTGGGCCCAGTTGTTCGAACGCCGTTTAGCGCTAAGCCAGGGTTAAATTTTAACCTGGGCTTCTTTTTCTTTTTATAAACAGCACTCTCTTGGATAATTTTTTATATTCTTTTTAGAGCACACAATCATCAAATTGTAGGCAAAGAGAAAAAAACTGAATTTGTTTTTTTAAGCTCTAATATGTGAGTTCAAATTTCGCACTTACCCTGGGTCATCTTAAACCAGCTTCAAACAACCAGGCCCTGAAGACATTCAGAGGAGCTCTTGGGCAAGGAATATTTCCAGCGTGCAAAGAAAGTAACGTCTGGTAGCCCAGGGCTAGTGGATTTTGCTATCTGGCTAGTGAATTCTGTTTTTAACTTGCCCGACGGGCAAGTGATGTTTCATGAGCAATTCGAATAACAGAAGAACTGTGAAATCAATTTTGCTCGTCAAAAAGCTTTTGGGGCTAGTTGAAATGACGCCTGGGCTAGTAAATGCTAGCTTCAGCTTGCCCGAATGGCAAGCTGTAAAAATGATTTTCTTTGCACCGTGATTTCACCCGTTATGAAGAGCTGGGAGGGTGGAGGATGGGGTATGCTTTTTCCTCTATATTTTGACTGACTTCTACCGATTTACAGCTATGCTGTTTTTTGTCAAACAAACATTGCCTTCTACGAGGCTCACTCTTTCTAAACCTCAGAACCAGCATATTAATAACAGATATGGTAAAAACGGACCGACATACCCCATAGTTATTCATTGTGTTTGGTCTTCCCTTTGGTAGTTCTGTATTTTCAAAGTGGTTTATTTCCTCAATAAACTCCTCACAAAATTCTGGAGTAAATACTTGAAAGGCATAGACATTCTTGGCTGTAGGAAATATGCAAAACATGACTTAAGTTCTCCATGAAAAAGAAGGATATACACAAGGAGAAATTGACCATCTTTTTAATACGATTGTGCCTAAAATAATATATTGATTTTCAGTTTATGCACCTAGCGTTTCAGACCTTGCTGCTGTGCAGGCACTATATATCTGTTAGTTATAACATCCATGAGTTATTGGAAAAAAGTGGATGCGGCCTCTTTTTTAAACTGAAATATTGTGACCATCCATTAAATTATAATTTCTCCCCAGGTATAAGGACATATAAGAGTGACTTAGAAATGGATCCATAGTAAGAAATAGAATAAATACTGAACTTTTCAGAAATATATTTTTGAACAGGTTAGTCTTAAGTAGGACCTAGCTGCATAGATATTAGATTTTTTAATTTTTTTTTAATTTACCTGTATAAACGTATTAGATAGCTTTTTTAAAAGATTAATTTTAAGTATAACCCAGTTGTGCAAATATTTGATTTTACAATAATACATTGTATTTTTTTTTCTTTACTTGGAATTGATACAACTGTACTTTGCACTTGTTTCTTAAAATTTCTATGTAACATCTGATATGTATTTTATCTGACGAATAAGGACTTATTATTATTATCAGCATTATTATTACAGGGTTCGCAAATACGCCAAATTTGGCGTATTTTACGCCAACATTGTTCAGATGACTCCACAGAGGTTACGGAGGGAGTCACTTCGACGCGAGAAATTTTCGGTAACAAACAGGGAGCCACTTCGACTGCAGAAATTTTCGGTAAAAAACACAGTTTTGTCCTTACCATTTTCGCAACAAATCAAATTTACGTTAATTGTAAACGTTGTAAACCTTAATTAAATCATCGAAATTAAAGAATTATACTGCACGACCAAATAGGAAGAGGGTTAATTACGATCAAAGTTTATTGGATGACCGCCATCATGGATTTGAGCTTTCCAGGTCAGCGGACCGCCACAGCTACTTCGTGTATCCATCACGATAGTGTATACACGAGAGGACTACGTGCTCGAAAGTCTGAAAATGGCTTTTTTCGTTGTGATACTTGACTCCAAATATTCCTAAATGACTCCAAAATTTGTGAAGCAGAAGTCACAGTGACCCCACTCATCAATAAAATTTGCAAACCCTGTTATTATAATTACTCTTATCATTGACAACACTGGTCTTCTAGATTGTAAAAAGACTCAAGCCATACTTGCCATCACACTGCTTTACTATGGAAAGTAACCCTGCAGCAGTAGCCTCTGTGTTATCCTTTGCATAATGAACCAGGGCTAAAAAACTTTCTGCGAGGAATGACTCCTGAAATGAAAAAAATAGTATTTTATTACTCAAGTCAGTTTTTCAGTATATATTTTTCTTACTGTAAAAGGTTATGAAACCAATAAGGGGCGGTGCCTCGCATGGGACGTTAGTCCCATTGCACCTACCCCTTTTGGGTTTTTGCTTCTTTTTTTGTGTGTGTGTTGTATTATAAATTTATATTGTATTTCACTGGAGGAGCACCCAATAAAGCTGTGAAAAAAAAAACCCTTTGATCTGTTGCCAATTTAGCTAAAGGTTCATAAAAAACCATATTCTCTATAAAGAAGGCACCCAACAATGGAGTTGTGTTCCTGAAAGCCTCAGTGATAAGTTCTTTCCTATATTTGACCCATGTTAAACCATACCCCCTCCCCCAGGACCCCCATCCTCCCATGGAAATATGGGACACACACAAAAAATAATATTAGTGTATGACAAAAAAGAAAATAATTATTAATACATCAAATCCATAACTCATAGCCCGCTGGGGATAAACAAAAGGCAAATATGCACACTGCAAGCACTAGCAGCAATAGTGAAAATGTGGATTGGAAATTACACAATCAAGAACCAAGTTTTCTTACTTTTTTTCTGGTAGAGCAGTTTTGTTATTTATCGTAACCCATTAACCAACACTATCAGAGCTCTAGCCTGCAAGCAAGCTCTCCGGGACGCTCAGGTGCTGGGGCGGGAAAAGGAAGGAGGGCTTGCAACTACGTCTTTGGAATTTGAATATCCGCATCGAAAAAGTCAATGCGAAATGCTGATTGGCGGAGATGACGTTACCCTTGGCACGTGTTTTTCAATCTTTGTTTTCATTCGTGCTTGTTTCTGCTTCACGCGGATTGGCAGAAATCTGACAGCTCAGTCGACAGGGAGCCATGGGGGAATTGGAGGTGGAATTCAAATTCCAACGACATAGTTGCAAGCTCTCCTTCCTTTTCCTGCCCTGCCGCCAGAGCACCCCAGAGAGCTAGCTCGCAGGCTATTAGAGCTCGAAAAAAAGTCCCATCCAGTAATCCGGGACAAGCAGATTTTCTTGCTGAACAAGTAACTTTTTAAGCTTACTTGCTCAATGAGCAAGGGTGCAGGCAAGTCACCCTCTAATAAAATCATTAACAAAGACCAGCAAGAAGTTGTCCTGGGAAAGTGAAATGTGAGAGCAGCCTGCCCAAAGGACAAGCTGGAATTGAAGTTCAAGCCCTGACTATAAAGAAATATTTACCTTCAAAGTATATACATGAGGATGTAGTGGTATATATTTATTAGCAATTAGCTTTCTCCGCTTCTGTGACTCTCTACCTAGATTTCTTCTCCTCTCTATTTCATTCTTCACCTAAACAAAAGGAAAGGAAGGAAAATTATTTTCCCTTTTCTCATGCTCTATACTTGTTTTATGCATTGCACAAAATGTGCTGTTTGCCTTACTGAGCTCATAGATGCCTGCCATGCAAGCTAATGTGAGATAAGCTTGTTAAAACTGTCTTGGAAAGTCAAGGCCATGGTCAAACATTAATCTCCACGTGTTAGGAGCCTAAATTATGATAACGAGCAAGGACAAAAGATTTTGCTCATTAGCGTAAGGTTTGTAACATGTGAAGTTTGTCTTTTGACCCTGACCCTCTGAGTGAAAGCATTCATAAGAAACATTTAGTGATGATCATGTGACTGCTCTCACAAAGTTTCGCTTGTAGTTGAACAAAGATTTGAGGGTTTTAAAACACAACATTGATTTGGGTGAGGAGGGGGTGGTGGTATGTAGGGGGAGGGGATAGATATGTCCACTATGCGAAAAAGGGGCCATTTTATGGAAGTGTCTCGACACTTTAGTCCTTCATTGTGGACTATAAATGAACTTACAAGCTCACAAGAAATGCTACGCTGGTCAAATGGAAACCGTTGCTAAAAGTTATGTTTGAATCACCTCTGTCAGTAATTCTTTCCACTGCTCATCACTTTTACAGCCTCTACCACAAAGTGCCTGCGTCAAACACAAGTATTCAAATAACAATCAAAGAATTACACCTTCACGCTTACATGTTACAGAGTTACTTTACCAGTTACAAGACGAAAAATATCAATATTTACATACCCTACGATAATCACACTGAAACTGTTCTTCGCTTTCGAACACAACATGGGCTTCATAGTTCTTTAAGAATATGTTATGAGTAAAAAAACACTGACAAACGAAAGCCTCTCCTTCCGCCATATTAATTTTGCAAGAAGCTGCAAGACAAAATTTGCGCCAATCTGGAGACTGGGCACTATGAGCTTAAAATGGTTTGAACTGCATGGTGGGACATATCCTGTAACCAAAGCAAACATGGCGTCCTTGTGACAGAAAAGAGTAAGAATTATGACGTTTCTGATTTGCAAGGAAACATAAGAAACGATCACTTTGCTTATAATTCCCCAGAAACTGATTTTTAGTTTTGCTTTGGTTTTTAACCGTTTGATGTTTTACCTTTGGAATGAATGAGTCAAAAAGTCATAGAGCTCACCGATGGTCTCAAATTTTCTGTCGCTGATGTTCTTGTTTGTGAGATTTTAATCATCCAATCATCGGAAATAACCCTTAATGAAGCTGGATTTTGTGGATATAAGTTCCTGGTAATGAGGCTGTAAATATAAAAAAAGCAGCCCCGGTTTGTATCGTAAAAAAGCTCATTCTGAAGTTGAAACAGAGGAGCAATTTGAATTTAGCAATCTGATCGATTTTAATCCAAATGGCTCACCTTCTTGGAAGTCAAGCCTGTCTGGAAAGCTTGGAGCAGGACATCACCGATGTTCAAACAACTGTGCTGGATTTGTTGTCCAGAGTTGGCCCTGTGCAAAGCCCCTCATGGAAATATCCTGACAAAATAGCATGTGAATTGGACATTGAAGAACTGCTGGAAAGATACTCTCATTCAAATGACGAGGATCATTGTAAGCTATCACATATTATCCTGTTTGAACTGTTGATTGACAGGTAACGAGCATGTCTTGGTTCTTTTGACTAGCTAATCTGAAGATACCAGGCCACCTAGTCTTTTAATAGCCTGCGAATACAGCCGTCTTTCCTCACTCCTCAGGGGCGGATCCAGGATTTTTTTTAGGAGGGGGTGCACTCGTCTCTTGCTGTACTTCAACACCAATAAACCACATAGTTTTTTTTTGCAGAATACCAGTTGTATTAGAAAACCGCAGGTCATCTCATGGGGGGTGCGCACCCCCTGCACCCTCCCCCTAGATCCGCCCCTGCTCCTTGCCACTAGGGATGTTTTGCAGGCCTGGGGGGGTACTCCCGCGAATTTTGGATAGGGATAGGGGTGTGCCGCAAAGGTTCGTGAACCCTAACCCTATTTAAGGACTAAGAAAGCGAAAACTGATACCCTTTTTAAGGCCCAAAGCCGAAAAATGACACCCTATTCTAGGAAAAAACAAAATTATTAATAGCATGAAAAAGAAAACTTTATTTCTTCTCTGTAACATTGGATGTAAAGCATCAAGCATAAAATATTAGAATAAGCCTTGTTTAATTTTTTCACACTCCAGTATTAGATAATACAATTAAGCTACCCTATCTAAGGACCACACCAGGGACACAGAAACAAAAGAGTCAAAAAAGATACCCTATTTAAGGACCGAGAACCTCAAAAACGATACCCTATTCCACGGCACGTACCTATATAGCCCATATGTGGGAGTACCCCCCCCCCCCTGGGTTTGCAGGAAAGTTGACTGTGCCTCAATGACTGAAATTCCATACTGATGCTGTAAATCACTGTGCACATAATTGATCTGGTAGTCATGGGGTTCCAATTTAAATTTGCTCGGTCTTATGTGTCTCTTGGTTGATTATGGTAAAGTTTTGTGTCCTTCTTTGAATGAGCTCTGGCAAAACTCAAATGCTTCTTCTAAAAAGAATATTTTGCACGAGCATTGACTGTTTTGTAGTAGATTCATCATGCTTACATTTGACTTTTGTGGCCTTTTGTTCTTTGTCTGTGATTTGTAAACGATTGACTGCTACATCGACCAAAGAGCTCCTGACCAGATTTTGGACAGCTTTTATGTCATCAGTATGGAATTTCTGTCACTGAGGCACAGACATCTTTCCTTTGAAATGTCTCTAGCAGCTAGGAGCAAGGAGAGATGGCTGTATTCACAGGCTAGTCTTTTAACCACCTATCAAATAAGGGGAGTCATTTGTTCCTCAGTTAAACTTAGACTGATTTCAGTATAATTCTTAAACTCATACATGGCTCTGAGGCTTAAGGAATAAAACAGTAGAAATGTACTATTCTACCCTGCCCTCGAGATGGTGCCTTTAGTTTTATTCTTATTGAAGCCAAGTGTGAATTTTAAGATATCAAAATTGGTCTGTTACAAAAGAATCACTCATTTTGCTTGTTAAATCTAACACCATCTACTGCTCAGGGGCACCCAACGAGGATATAGTTCAAAACCACTTGAACATAATATTGTTAAGGTATTTTAGTATTTAAAAGGTAGATATATGCATATTTTTATCCCCTAAAAATTTTTCATCTGTTCGAATTTCCTAGCTGAAAGTCTTGTGATCCGAAAATTACAGCAATCAAAACTTACCTTTTCGAAAACTTCAGCCAGAATAAATGCTTCCGAAAATTTTAGGTGACCTTTTAACGTCAAAAATCCATTAAAAATGGGCAATAATACCATTTTTTAGATGTCCGAAAATCCTAGGAGAGGCAGACAAGCAAGAAATTTTTTATCAAATGTTCCGAAAATTCTAGATCTCAAATCGTCTTCCGGACAGATATTTTCTAAAAAAGACTTTGGGTGCCCCTGACTGCTGTGCCAAATTGGCCACCAAATATAATAGCCCTAAGTCTTTTACAGACCTTTATCTTATGGTAAAATGAAGCCTACCTCTCAAAGGTTTGACCTCTTATTAACATTGTAATAATTTTAATATAGAGAGTGCAGACTATAAGGTTTAAGGTAAAAGTTACAATGGGTTGTTCCAGAAAAAATCCACACCCCCCCGACGGATGGGATTCTGGAAATTCTCGCGGGAGGGGGGGTCGAAGACTCCGAAAATCCAGGCGGGAGGGGGGGTTGACCTTAACAAAGGCTTCTGCAGGGGTCACTTCGACCGATAGTTGATACAAATCAAACGTTTAGTTCGATGACACTTAAGCGCTTTCAGACCCTGAAAATAGTCAAAATGTTTTGTTCATATATTTCTCACCTGACATAAATGATAATCTAAGTTGCTTTACAGGTCCTTTTATAGCAGAAAACGCGAACAAGATACTAAAGAACGGGCCTGAAGGAACTCGTCGCAACATTGTTGTCACGAAGAGCGTCAAACGCCTGACACATTTCTACTGCACCCCAGAGCCCCAAAGAAGAGCGAAGAGTGATTTTTATAAGCTAAGAAATTATGTAAACACTGCTCAGGTGTCGTTCGCATTTTTGTTTTTTGCTCCTTTCGCTTTTAGTTCCACGCGATAGAATTCTTAGTTTAATATAAGCTGAAGCTTTAGAAATTAAAACAAAAACATTTAGACGTGTTTATGCGTGTATTTTCCATTAAAAATAAATTAAATTTAAGCCTTTTATTTTTTTCCCGAAATCCAGGCGGGAGGGGGGTCTTCCACCTTGGAAATCCAGTTGGGAGGGGGGGTCTTGTGCTTCAGGAAATCCAGGTGAGAGGGGGGGTTAAAAAAGGACCCCGTCCGTCGGGGGGGTGTGGATTTTTTCTGGAATAACCCAATAGTAGTCTCTTCCAGGGACTAAATGATAGACCTGTGGGATTATTCAAGAAATGTGAAGTCATACTAGCAAAAATTTGCAAGTTTTACCGACAAAACTGTACCAATACAGTCAACCTTAGGCAGACACCATTATGACTTGCACTGACAACCCACCTATTTTTTAGAGATACCTGTATCCACAATAATATGGAAAACAAAACAGCTCTTTTTGGAAGATGTCAGTTAAGAGAGAATTCAAGATTTTAACAGCTTTAACATAAACAGAGTTTGCTTTGTTTAAATAGACAAGTAAATTGACATTAGAATCCTGTTTTCCTAAATCAGGCTTGTGCTTCTACTACAAGGTATGGCTCACTTTATTGAACAGCTGCTGACCTCATGTGATGGCAGGCCTGCTAGCGGGAAAATTCTTGGCTCGTCAATGTCTGTAGGACTGGTCGCAAAGAAGTTCTGGAATAAACTAGTTCATGTTCAACAGACAACACAGCAGCTACAGTTTGAGAGCAAAACTAAGAATAAGACAATGTCAAAAATGGAGGATACTATCACTGACCTTAGAGAGGAAGTCAAGCTATTTAAACAGGCTCTGGACAAAAAATCAGGCAAATCATCTGTTGTTAAAGGCAAAATCCAAAGCCAGAGTGCCAACAGAACTTCTGTCAAATTCATCCTCTCTCCATCTGAGGAGTTATCACTAGAAAGTTCAACTCCAACACAGGATCTTTCTCTGGCAGTGGAAGATGTTGCTTGTGCAAGGAGTTGTCAGGAGTCATCAACACAGACATATGATACAGCATTTATACCTTGTGAGGCTTGTGCAAGAACCCAACAGAACTTAATTGAAGTTGGTAGTATGGTTATTAAAGTATGTGAATCTCAAGGGCTTCCCTCTTCATTGGCTAAACAGAAGAAGCTCTTGCGACAATCACTTATGGCTGCAGCTGATGTCTCCAGGTGGGCATCAGAACAAAACCAGGATTTGAAAAGAATTAATGATCATTTAGACAACTTATATGCACAAATTAATCCTTTGGAGGATAAGCTTAGTAGATCAAAACAGGCTTGTGTTAATCTGGAGAAGCAAATCAAAGATTTACAGAATCAACTTTCAGAAGAGCAGACTGCAACTCAAAGAAAAGAAGAAGAATTCCATCAACAGCTTAAAACAGTTGTTGCTGAAAAAGATCTTCTTTTGTCAGATGCTGAGAAACTAAACAATGATCTTATGAAAGGGAAAGATGCCCTCCAGGAGATGGTCATAAAGTTAGAAGAGAAGAGAAAGAAATATAAAGAATCTATAAAAGACCTTGGTAGGTTGGTTGATGATCTTGTCACTGGGATTCCATCAAAAATATGCCTTTAATCCCAAGTTTGTAGTGTCTTCGATCACTTTTAAATAGTAGGAACACTTGGTTGATTTCCCCCGTCTCCCCCTTCACAAAGTTGAAAATCACTCAAACTTTCCCAAAATGCTCTTTTTAACAACACTGCAAGGGGGCAAAGGGACTACACTGTACATGCCCCGAAAAAAACAGAAGTGTCACAATTTTTTTGACTGGGGTTGTAGCTGTTTTTTAGCCTACCGTGTGGCACCAAATTTTTGCGGGAGTTTATTTTTGCAGATTGGCAATTTTTTGTGTTTTGCAGGAACTTATTTTTGCGGATCACTGGAAAAAATCGCAAAAATGAGAACCCCCAAAATTTTGTGCCACACGGTAGTAGATAAAAATGGACTTCTGACATTCATGTAGGTCATTTGTACCGTCAGCCCTTGCATAGAGGCTTGTTTGTGCCTTGTCACACCACAGTTTACTGTTGAAGATAATTTGGGATGACTGAACACGTTGAAATTTGTCTTTCTTTGGCCCAGGGGATGAAAACTCCAGGCTGTTAACAGAGTTAGACAAAGAATCAAAGGAAGTTGCAAGGCTAACAATTGTTGAATCTGAGGTGCAGACATTGAAAGTAGAGTTAGATGAAGTTCAGGCCAAATTGAAGAGTACTGCCATTGAGCTTGGTAAAACACAGGCCAGGAATAAAACCATGGAGAGACATGAGCATGTAAGAATCATTTCACATTGTTTATTACAGTTTGTCTTTTAAGTCCAAAGAGTGACCAAAGTGTAGTTCCAGAAGATGTCCATACTCCCCCCTTGGAAAGGATTGGAAATTCCTAGAGGGTTGGGGGGTTCTCAAAGGCCCAAAAATCTAAGTAAATGTATGAAGCTTGACTGGAAATCCACAGGGCTGGGGGGGTGGGGGGTCTAAGGAAAAATCCCTCCCGTGGGGAAGGTATGGATAATTTTTGGAACCACACAATATCAATGCATAATCAAGAGAAGAGGTTATGAGAATTAATCTAATGCACACTAATGGGAAAATGTTCTGATATTTTTACCAAAATTCTCTCAACTAATTTTGTAAGGAAATGGGTATATGGAGATCAGTCTGGAGAATTTTGAAGTGGATATTGGAGCTTAAATGGGTAACTCATTTGTCCCTGGATTACTTGTGTGGATCCAAGTCCCTTCTACAGCTTGTGGTGTCATCAGTTTTAACAGTAGCCTGTTCCAAGCGTTCAGATAGTGGAGAGCGGTGCGAAGTAAAGAAAGCGATGAAAAGTAGAGGGGGACTGGGGAGAGAGGTGCGGGAACGCTTGTAAGAATTATACCAGATCCTGGTATACCCTCTGATTGGTTGATTTTGACAGTTTTTGTCAACAGTGGAGCGTCTTCGATCACAGAGAGAAATGCGATATGGCGGTAATGACAGACTCTACGTCCCGTCACGCAGAATTCGAACTCGCAACAAACACAGCGCTGAGTGACTTTCCAAATGTAGTGGCTAAACGCGAAGAGCAAAGAAACTGTTTAAAACACGTAATCGGTAGGATAGATGTCTTCCCAATTTCACCGACTGGCTTTGGGAAAAGTCTTATTTTCCAGCTTTTTCCTCGAATAAAGCGTGCGTTGGAATGAAGGCAGGATAGAATGCCATTTACGATTGTAGTGGTAACTCCGTTGATTGCCATCATGAAAGACCAAGTGGAACATTTGAACAAAATCGGAGTAGCGGCGGCAATGATGGGAGAAGATGTGGATGAAGCCGTTAAAAGCGAAAGCTGTGAAATTGTATACTGAAGTCCCAAATCGTGGTTTTCTAAGGAATGGACAAAAGGAGTCCAAAAAGGAAAGCTTGGAAAGCAAGTTGCAGCTATCGCTATTAACGAGGTCCAGTCAATTACCGAATAGTAAATTTTCCCATCAATATTATTGTTGTGCATTTTCATTACTTGAGTTAACGATCTGTATTGAAACGGCTTTCTATCGAAATGAGCGATATTTGTTTGTCACTTGATTCATAATTTTTTTTGTCACGTACACGCTGAAATCATATTTTAAAGCCGTAAATAAATTCATTGTACATGAATACTTCTCCCGCTCTCTGTTGTCTGAAAGTCTTACATTAGGTTTTTAGTGAGACTATGTATACATAATATTAATTTTTGATCTGATAAATTTAATTTATTCGCAAGAAAAATAATAAATGTAAGGGGCTGTAACACCAGTCATGATTGACAAGTGAAGACCACCTACAGCTGATGCGGTCTGACTGGGCGGAAGAGTCTATTTAAAACAAATCTAACAGGCGTTCCCTCTCTCACCTCTCCTCCTCCCCCGCTTTTATTTTTTGGCGCTCCTTTTTACTTCGCACCGCTCCCCACTATCTGAACGCCTGGAACAGGCTATTTTAACAGTTTCCCTTGTACTTGTACAGGGAAAAGAGATCAATGCCCGATCTTTGAAAGCTGATGTTTTATATCTGGAATAGAAGGCTGCAAAGTGTTTGACTTATAAACAACGCTTTGGGTAGTTTTAGCTCTTTAAAGCCAGACGGTGACCAGTAAACATCTTGACTAGCTGTAAGAGTTGATTTTTTGTCAAAATTTCCAGCAGCAAATGGTTGTAAGTTGTTACACCTTTGAGGTTGTTGGGACCTGGTAGGTAAAAACGTACCATATTTTTTCAATTTGCCAAGTTTCGACCTCAGCAATCATTGATTTACAGTAGCAACGTGTTAATCATAATTGCCAAACCAGGAGGGGCGATGATGGTGTTTTGATGGACCAGTTCCCTTTTTTTAAAGGTGGATAACACTTAGCCTATTCAGTGTAAAAATCATGCACTATCTAGTGTATAGCGCAACAGGTTTTCCTTCTAACACTTTAGTATCCACTGGATAGTGATTTATCTGGATGATAGCGCTATCCATCATTTGAACAACAAGGCTCAGACTGATTACTTTGCTTTCCCAATGTTCTGTTGTAGGCATTGCAAAGCAAACATGATGCACTTCTCAGAAGAGTTGATGAACTTGACACTGAATGTGAGCAGTTAAGAGAAAGGGTAATGGATGCTGAAGGCGAGAAAGATGAGCTACAGGGAGTGGTGGAAGATCTGCAGACAGAGAAAGAGAAGCTTGCCAAAGAACTTGACTCCAAACAGGTGTGCTACCGTTTCTTTATAGTTTGATAATGACTGTAAAATACAAAAAACTTTTTAAAAAAGCATCGTTTGTTGTCATTTCTACGTGGTTATTTCAGCTACACGAAGGTCAGCCCGTTTGTAGATCGTTGTAGGGCAAGCAAGGTACTACCCTCTTCCCATTTGTTTTAAGACCTTGAGTTCTGTATTGGTTAGAAACCGCGACCTCTCGCGCTGCAGACAAGCGCTCTACCAACTGAACTTAGTTAACACTGTTGCGGTTGAGGAGACAGTGAGTTTACGAGTTTGTGTTCTGCTAACCTGCCTGTTAGAGTGGAGTGGAGAATAGCCCCTCCCCCCAACCCCCTCCCCCCCCAAAAAAAAACCCTGTCCAGAGCTGGTCATTTTACAGCGATAGTTTTTTTTTTAATCGGCGAGGCAATAGCCGATCTTTGTAATAATATCACCCGTCCAATTAATTAATCTTTTTGCCTAATATTAGCAAGTTCGTTTTCCCCAGCAGATTAGAACCTCTTCTTTTTTGACAGAGTCTTCTGGAAGAGTTAAGAAACGAGAAGGAAAAGCTATTGCAGGAGGTTGAAGAATTTGAAGTTAAGACAAGCGAACTTGAGCACCAGCTGAAGGAAAGCGAAGAAAAACTACAGCTGGTGGTTGAGTTTCCCTCCATTGACGCCAAACAATCGACTCAAACTCAGTCTGATAAAGGAGTTATGTTCAATGGTGAAGGCCCTTCTGAGGCGGAAGTAGCACAAGATATGGAACGGCAGGTTATGGCGAACAACATCAGAATTATGACTCTGGAGGAGCAAAATGACAAGTTGAGAAAGTCCATCGCTTTCCTGATGAATGCCCGAGAAAATATATCGAAGAAAAAGGTGAGTGCATATTGGGGTATAACCGGTCAAGTCGCCCGAAACCAGAGTCATGTCGCCCGAAATGGACCTGAGAACTCTGGGATGAGGGGTTGTGCGATTATTTTATGTCCGTAGGTTTGCTTTGTCTTAGAGTAACCATTTGATGAACATGAGAATGTTGTCACCACAGTCATCGTCGTCGTTATCACCATCATTAGGGAGCTTAAGCAACAACGTTTTTGAGCGACGCACGTCAACCGGAAGTGGCCTTTTTTCATTTTTTGACGGTGGTTTCGCGCAAATTTTCAGTCAAATCGCCTCTATAACAGTAAAGAAGCTAAGGAATACAAATTTTATATCATCAAGGCATGTTAAGAGGGAAAATACCTCACTTCCGGTTGACGTGCGTCGCTCAAAAACGTCGCTGCTTAAGCTCCCTATTATTAACCCTTTAAGCCCTAAGAGTGATCAGCATCAAATTTCTCCTTGCAATATCAATGCTTTGTAAAACAGAGTGGTCATGAGAATTAAGGACATTATCACGCTAGATGAATCTAATTGATACTTCAACAAATCCTCCCCACTACTTCTATTGAAAACGTATAGGGATAACAAATGAGAATTTGAATTTTGATGTAAGGGTTTAAAGGGTTAACATCATCGTTATCGTCATCCGCGTCATCATAGTCATTAGGGAGCTTTAACAACGACGCAGGTGGCTGCAACAAGAACGTCATAAAAGCCGAAATAGGTTTCATTGGGAAAAAAAAACCTTGCGCGTGCATTGTACATTTCTTTGCCGTCACTACCCTACTACGACGTGAAAATGCATAATTTCACGTTTTACTGTAGGAAGTAAACAAGCGACTACGAATATTTTTTTCTCTTTCTAAACTTGAGTACGGTCCCCAAGAAACCAGCTCGAGGACATTCGCCTACATTTGACATTTTCAGCGAACTGGAAAAATAAAAAAAACGCGAATTCATTTCAGTAGTGACGTTTTCGCTGCCGTCGCCGTCGTCGATGCTAAAACTTCCTGTTATCATCATCAGATCGTCATTGTCATCATAATCACCATCGTTATCGTCATCATCATCGTCATTATCATCATCATTATATGTATTATATTCGTTATCGTCATCCGCATCATCATCGTCGTAACAATGTAGTTAGTAAAGATTTCATTCATCGGAAAGCCGTAATGGATTACTACAGTTGGTTAGTGCACGGCTATCTGTGCAACAGGTCTCTAGCTCGATCTCCAGGGGTGACCTCCAATCCTTGTCTCGACTTCTCTCCTTTCCATGTAGCTTAAAGTAGCTTTGAATATCCGCAAAACGAAGTACTGATGGAGCGTGAGGGTGAAGGGGTTCTCTCCTCCGCAGAGGCTCCCGCTGGGTACCCTCCCTACGGTACAAAGAGGCCTCTGCGGATGAAAGAGGGGAAGGGGGGAAATGAGCGCATGATCGACCTTAGGTTAATTAGCAATACGATAAATATTTCGAGTTACCAACGTTAAATGAAGAATTCGAGTAGGAGGTCCAGAACTCTCAGTCCCAGAAAGACTCTCCGAGTCCCAGAAGTTTCATTCTTTCCTGTAGTTGACCAACATATAAAAAGACTTAAGCCACCAGGATGGCGTGACAAGTGCTTATTTAAGGCGCACACACTTGACTTGAAAATGAGGAGTATTAGATTCTGGAAAAGTGCTCCCCTATTCATCCCTTATTTTGTCGTAAGTGAGCAATTAGTGTTAATATTGGGTTAGGGGAGGGGTGAGTGTGTGGTTTTCGAAATTTGAAACTGATCCGCTGACCCCGTAGAGAGGAAGAGTTTTATTTTTAAAGTTGACGCTTTTGTACAAAGGAAATTATAGGGTTGAGAGGATTAATGTTTTCAATTTCTTAGGTGCAAGACCCTGTTCCCTTATGGAGGTCCGCACACGGTGAAGACGATCTAACTGCTGGACAACAGGACTCAATACAAAGGTTGAGTACTTTGAAATCTTCTTTTGTAATTGATCCTAATACGTAATCATCTCAATATTTCCATTGCCTCTGTTGCCGCTCGAGGACGTCTGTGCTTGGCATTTCTCATCCTTTCATGGTTTTCACTATTTCTTTGCTCTTCTATGTCTTTCATGAAAGAGTTACCTTCACATGAAGGCTGGCGTGGTTTCTTTGATTTTAGTATGCCACAATCGTCAACGGCCCCTAAGTACATATGTACAGTCTTGTGACAATAACATTTCAGTCGAAAATATATCTTTTCTCAGAACGTTCTACGACGATGACTCATACATGCAACAGAAACGCCCCTCATCTGCGGTAAGAGAAGGACAGAGCTCGTACCCAGACTATCACTCGTCAAGCCGGCTACAACCACGCCCACCTGAAAAACCTAGAGCCCAGTCCGCAAAGACACGAGTGAAAAGCTCGACATCTAAACTCGCAGATAAACGACAGAGTGCTACACTGAGCGCAAAACTTGCGGCCAGCGGTAAACACGTGGTAAACATCATGGGAAGTCTTGCTGAAGGAGGCCTCCAAAAACACGAATGGCAACATTCACCCGTCCCTACCTGGGACGTTGTAGCGAAAGAGGGCAGGGGTGGGCGAGTGAGCCCTGCGTCGACGCGTTACACCCCAGTGAATGTTTTTGTTTGTTCAAGTTGCGATAAAATGTACAACACACAGAAAGATCTGGACATCCATAAATCGTTCTGTTACGGCAGAGTCAATGAAAATTACACGTAATCCGAAAAGGGAGCACTGCAATACTAGAGAGAATGATGCTCTCTTGTCTTAAGCTTACAATCGGCGACAAAATTCTTTTAAAAAAACTCTTCTATTCCTATAGTTCATTACACAAAATGAAGTTTCAACTTTTGAGTCGAATAAAAAAGGGTTCATGTTTGCAAGACAAAAACCTATGTTTTGATTGATTTACAGTCCTGGTACCAAAAGTCAGAACTTGCCGGCCAGACCGATAGTTGAAGTTTGAAGCAGGGTTTATTCGAGTTTTGCTGAAAGCACGTCACTATTTATAACAGACTGATTTGGACTGGCAGTCAATAATGGAATTTCTGTTTTGACTTAACTGGTCTGGCCTGCCGGCACTGAATCATGGTAAGCGCCCTTAGCCTGTACCATCATGAACGTAAATAAATGCACGTGCCTACCCTTCCCCTAATCCAACATTTACGCTAACTTCTTACATTGTGCGAAATGTGAGATTACGGGAGGAGTCGGTGGGTAGTTTCCTAGTCAGAATATTACATTCTTCCGTTTATATCCTTTTATAGTTTTGCTCACGTTTGAACGGAAGCCATTCATAATGGACCCTAACAAGAATCCTAGTTCCCAAGCTCTCGGAGAAAGTAAAACGTCACAGATAATTTTTTCCTCAACTGTGAGGAAAATTCCCAAACTCTCGGAGAAAGTAAAACGTCACAGATAATTTTTTCCTCAACTGTGAGGAAAACCCGAGATTCTCGAAGCTCACCAAAAGGATCGCAGCCCTGGGAACGAGAATGGGAAAACCTCCATCGAACCCTTAACTAAAATAAATGGGTTCCACTTACTTTAGTAACTATGAATGATAAATACTAAGGGCTAATACTCCAGCTTGTTGAGGCCCTTATAATATAATTGATTAAGCACACACTCCTTCTATTGAAAACTTGTTTAATTACCACCATACTTCATTACCTACATGTGCGTTCACCACTATCGTCTCTTCCCAACGGGACTCAGTCTCCTCTCTAATGCTTCATAACATAGAACTTCTCGTTATTAGGTACGATCACATAAGGGTTTTATTCCCGGCAATTAACATGTCTATTTTACTGGCAATATTACAGATAAAGTTTTCTTTAGAGCACAAAAAGGACACTGAAAGGGAAAACAAGAAAATTAAGCCGTAAAACGCAATTTTATATTTACTTTAGCTGACACTATAATTTCGTTGATATCTCTGATAACGTAATATTTACATTAAATTAATCACCGAAACTTCTGAAAAAAATCATAGATACACACATACATATATACACTGAAGATTTCTATATACAGTTACTCTTCACCCACTAGAAAAATTATTTGAACATAAATTTGATCCCACAATTTTTTTGTTTTCGTTCCTGTATAGAAAGTTTGATTATACTGTAAAAGAGCAACACCTGAAAAAAGTTCCAGTATTTCGTAAAAGGGATCACATGTTATGGCGCTTTCTCTTTCGCAAGCACGCCTACAAGATTCTTAGAGAAATTCAGCGGAAAAGATAAACATATCCCTACTTTGCCTTCTCCAGTAAAAAAATATACAAGGGGTCATTTCAAGTTTTAGCATAAATTATATCTCTGGCGTAGCCCATTTCCAGGTTGTCCAAAGCCTCTGTTCCAAAGCGAGGCTAAATGCGAAACCATTGATATGAACGAGATTTTTTATTCTCACGCAAAAAAAACCAACTCATTTTCACAAGAAAGAATGGGATATTGCAGGAGCAAGCGTTTGGTTCCGGTTCCCTCTCAACATTTTTGCATAATTTTCTTCACATGCATATCATCGGCGCAAGAATGTTTCATTCCAAACATCTCTGACTTCAAATTATCTTATTTAGTGAGTTTCCTTGAAAAGTTAATTTCCACTACTTACGAATTTACAGAATTTAAGGCTTTTTAGATGCCTAATAAATAAGAGTATTTCCTATCTTCCCAACACCACATTTTGATGACTTATAAAATGTCGCTCAAATACCAAAATCTGGATTGGTTTATTGAAATTTCCTGTAGTTACAAGAGTTCCTCGTTCAAAAGGAAAGTTCTTGCAGTTTTGTCGTTAATCTGGCTGGCTGAGGAAATGTTGTATAAACTGTCCTGTTGGCCATGGCTCTGGTGTTTTGTCGTGCGCAGACTCCGTCGAGCAAGCGTTTTCTCGCAAATCCTTCCAATCCATGAGCGTTTGATGATAGCTTTCCATTCGGTCAAAATTGCCTTAAATTCAAGAGAGAGAAACAGTAAAAAGGATTGGTGTTTGCAGCGCAGCTACTAAGCAAAAATGTACATGTGAAGTCGCATTAATGAATTATAGTGTACGAAAATACTCAAATATACCATTTGGATAAATTCAATAGGAGGCACGTGAATTTGCGTATGCGATGTAAAGCGCACGGAGACATGAAATCGAGGTTACAAAGGACAGACAACGTTGACAGCAGCATCAATACTGGGGACTTAAGCAATCACCACAAAGAGCAGAAAAAAAGCGTCATCTGTGTCATGCAGGGAAGAATACCATTCCCTTGTCCATAGGTGCCACTATCCAGCCTTACAACAGAAAGCGCAGGGTGTGATGGGAGGGACGCAAAACACTGAGTGTAGCGCGCTCTTCCCATGCGCGCCAAATGGGAGCAAACAAGGACGCCTGGGTCTGAGACATATGCAAAAAAAGTCCAGTTTCGAGTTCGCAATGACCACTGAATAAAAGCACCGAAGATGACTTTTAACAGGGTTAACCCACGTCACTATAAACTCCAGCAAGAAGAAGAGCTGTTGACGACTATGGCTATTTTTTTATTTTTTATTTTTTTTGCTGCTGCTGCTATTTGTGAATATTTTCCTTTAAGTCGAGGGTAACCCCTATTCACCATTTTCGCATTGTCCATAATGCACCTTGTTAACAACCTAAACATTTTGCATACTTCACTACAAGGTGCATTATGGGTAATGTTAAAATGATGAATTCAGCGATTAATTTTTACTACGAAACGGGGCTATTCCCGTAACGTATTTTATTTTACCATTTACCTTGAGAATCGTAGAGATTTATAAGCCCTCTGTAGTCGTACTCGAGTCCACTGTAGCCGTCGCCAAAAAGTGTTCTTCCTATTTTAAGAGTAAATCAAAGATTAATTATGTGATCAGTTTTTCAAAGATATCTATCTCCAGGGAAATCAGTGAAAACAGAGAAAACTACATAAGGGCAAATTATACAAGCTTCAATGTTAAGTTTTAAAACACAGGACTTCTCTGGGCTCTACTTAAAGGTCAAAAGCGCATTGCAAAGTATAAGAGGTTGTATGAAAAAAACCTAAAGGACTTATAAAAAGCCTACATATGAAAGGCGACTCAGTTTGACATTTGACTCAATCAACACACGGTACCACAAAAAATACACCTCAGAAGCCCTTGTTGATAGGATTTTTAAAAAATAAACCAATGAAGTAATTACACGAGAAAAAGTAGGTATAGGCTTTCACGTAGCTATTAGTGTTAGACGCACATCAACTGGTTAGAATGCAAAAGCGAGAGGGGGGCGAGAGTTGTAAGGAAATTTACTGTACTCTGTTCACAGACGTTCTGTTTTCTCTTTAGAGATCGTCGAGCTCGCGTACAAAAACTAACACCGCAGAGGATTTATTTACCACTAGCTTGAGGGGAGGTGGGTGGACGATCAGCTCGTCCATGCGCGCTTCGTGAATTCGTCGAAAAAAGGATAAATTTCTACATAAAAGAGCTAATCTACTTCTTAGGTTAGTCTGTTCATAAACCTTTTTTTTTTCCTTAGAGTTTTTCGAGGGCACGTACAAAAATAAAAATCGCGGGGGATTTATTGACCACCGGCGTGAGGGGAGGTGGGTGTTTAAATCAGCTCGCCCACTGGAGCTCGACAAATTCCACGAAAAAAAGAGGAAAACGACTGGAGAACAGACTTTATTTACTGCGTTCGTTTTAAGACTTACCTATTGCAATGGACCTGAGGTACAGCTGTTCAGCCTTATCGTATAGTTCCATGTCGTAATTGTACAATGACGCCAAATGACCCAATGACAATGCTACTTCATAATCCTATAACAAGGTTAAAAAGAATAACAACAAAAACATTGACTTCACCACAGTAGATCGGATATTGTGGGAAATAACTGGCAAATATCTTTCATTCAGCTGTGAAGCGTATAACAAGTAGCATGTATTGACAAATTGCACTCCTCTCCACCCCCCCCTGAAAAAAGTATGCCATGTACTTCGTTTCCAATAGGCCTGGGGGACACTCATTTATTTGGCCTAAACGGGATCGTCCCGTCAAATAAAGACACTTTATTGGGCCATAGCGCTTCAACATGGTATTCCTTAACCTTAGAAAAAACAAAAGTTCAACAAGGATTTGACTAGAAGTGGCAAATTTCACCGAAATATTTTGGCTGAATCGCTCAACCTTCGTTAGTCTGGACGATAATGAATGGGAACAGTAGCGGTCACATCAGCTACCAGTTAGACATACCTCGCTACCAAGTATCCTTTCTTTGATTTCAATCGCTTTCTTGTGCATGGCCTCTGCTTCCTATATAACGACAACAAAACAAACAGATCGTTTATACACGGACAAGGATTAGGCTGGCCTTAAATACCACAGCGTTGTTAAAAGACAGCCACACTGTATGCATGTAGCCCATTGGCGTCACAAAAAATGACAACAAATCACTAACCGACTTTAAAAATAATGTTTTTTATACCTTATGGGGCCCAAGTGTTTGCTAAACTGGATGTTATTTTTTAAATATCAGGCAAATGTATTAAATATATGACACACCTCGTATCTTCGCATGGATTGATAGAGCCGACCTAAATTTCCATAGTGTTTTGCTGTCTGCACGTTATTTTCACCAAACGATTTCCTGCAAATAGAAAAACCTACTTTTAAAACTGCAATCATTAACAAAAGTGAAGGTGACATAAGCGTCCCAGCATAATAAACTCAAGGAACAAAACACAAAGAGGAGTAAATAGTACGAAGTAACAGCCGTCTCTTTGTCTCAACCCCCTCCCTCTCCTCCCTCGAAGAGACATCCCTTAGCACTGTTAAAACTAAGTTATTACACTTTGTCCCTCCTTAAAACCTGACTCGTTCCTAGTAGTCTGTCAGTCCCCTAGTAATATTGGTAAATTAACGCAATAGGACGGCAGAAAGAAGAGGACGCCGGGTAAACGTTTGTGTGTGAAAAACGTGACAGGGCTATACTTGTGTTTTTTGTCGAAGTCTTCGATTAACATCAATGTTTTCTGGTTTTTTATAAAAAGATCTGTTTAAAGAGGGGTGAAGTTTGGCCGAAATTCTTTTTCAAACAAAATTATTTTCACGCTTGTCACACAAGGTTTGCCGTCTATTAACGAGAGAAGCGCGGTCCTTCCCATTACTCCTAGCGTTCCTATCGTTCAAGCTTCTCGAGTTTCGTTCTCCGCGTCCGATCCAAATAGAGACGACTGGGGGACGAGTAAGCCTTAGAACCATTTTAGAACTGAAAAGGACAGATCAAAGTGACTATAAAAAACGACACCCGTAGGATGGGGTTCCACTGCAGAAAGCAAGCTGAGCGAGCGTAAGTATATAACTTACCTAGCTAGATCAAGAGAGGCCAAATGAAGCTCCTGAGCCTCTTTAAGAATTTCCTCTTCTTTTTGTCTGATCGGGGTATCTATTGCTATTTCTTCTAGAATCAGAGCTGAAAAAAATAAAAGAATAAAAAAAAAATTATAACGACTTAATCTTCTCTAAGTGTCTGCTAACCTAGCCTGTGTAATTGGGCGAATGTTGGACGATCTTGCACGGAATCGCTTGTTACGTAGGCTACTCCTAATCTTGAAGGGAAAGCAACACCTCAACAACAATACGCGACCACTGATATTCTTTACAGGGGAGAGCGGGAAAGTCGCTCCCTCTACTCTTTGCCCCCCACCCCACACAACAAGAAGATCATTTCATTGAATGGTATCTCACTGGTTGAAATGAAAGTAACCAAAACGGACTTTCACTCGCTGGAAAAAAAAAACAAACAATCAAAGTAACATGCTACAACACCATTATTTACCTTTAACTCTTTTGGAAGATGCGAGCAGAAGATGATCTTCTGGAAAGAGCTTTGTTATTATACTGATAGCTCTCTCGGCATGATATCTGCGCAGATAAAGAAACAACAAATTCGTGAGCATCAATTTTCAATTGCAAGGTAGATAAGCAGCCTTAGGTAAAGCTACTTTCGGGGGTTTCAAAATTGTTAACTCCTTGGAAAGAAATCTGAGTAACGCAAACACAGTTAAATCTTCTTATTAAAATTGGACATCAAAGAGACAGAGCCTACAGTCCGCATTACACAAATGTCTCTGTTAAAGAGGAAAACCGTGTATGTATTTTGTATCTTTGGGACCAAGAGAACTGTCTGTAATAGAGAGAAGTCATTACATCACGTTACCATGGTGGCACAATTTCTGGATCTCAAAATTTTGCTACCAAGGAAACGTGATATCACACTTCTCCTCTCTCTAGAAAAGTGTTTGTATACTAGTTTTAGGTAGCGAGAAGTGCGACTGTAGTAAGAGTACGATGTACTATCTTGCAGAAGTTTTGGGAAAAACAGAAAGGTTTATGAGAATTAGTGACATGATCACTTAACGGAAAATTCTTCGACCGTTTATTGAATTCTCTCAACTAACTCCACAAGGAAACGTATGGAGAGCAGTCTGGATAGTTTGTATTGTGGATATTGGGGATTAAACACATTAATGTTTGCTTTCAAATGAAACAACTCAAGTGAAACATTACCGACTTGACACTTTCAAATGCCTGAATTAGTTACGAGGCCTGTGTTGGTCACATTACCTAGCTTCATCAAAGTCTCCTGTGCTGTATTCATGAACGTAAAGTGCATAACCAAGATCTTCGTGAGCTGAGTCCCCCTCCCGCTTAATGGGTTTGCATGAAACAATTCAAGTTGTTGTAAAATGCCAAAAAGCCTGTGTTGGTCACATTACCTAGTACATCAAAAGCCTTCCTGATAACGTACAGAAAAATATACCAGTCTGTTTAATAAAAAAAACACAACAAAAAAAAAAAAGCTCAAATGAGAAAAATTTGTTCTTTTAATAAAATGCCTTTTGAAAAAATCAAATGTCAATTTTTTTTTTTCGCTCTTCTTTTTCTGCTCTTGGGTCGAAAGCCAAAGGAGAGGTTTTGAATCACGTTTACAGCAAATGCAAACATCAGATTCAATTTGACAATTTTTCCTCATAATAGGAAATCAAAATTTACAAATAGACCCCTCCATGAATGGTATGGTTTTTTCAACTTTTGACTGGGACCAGTTAGGGAAAATCCTTCAACACATTAAACTCAATAGTAAAGTTATCAACTCTGAAAGTGATTTGTTGAAAACTAATGAAGAATTCACAGACATTGCATGGTGGTGCCGGTGGCGGTGGTGGTGGGCCGGGTGCAGCAAGTTCATACCCACCATCATTCCCCCCTCTTATGGCCTCTTTGCAGAAAGTGGAAGGGTCTATTCTGCACAAAATTCTTTTGGATCAAACTGGTGTGAAACTACTCATTTTCTTGGGCAAGGAATGAACAAACAAGTAGTAGGAAAACTTGGTCATGTGGTACAAACTGATGTTTTTTGTTTGCCATGAACATGAGTCTCTATATTATCTGTAAGAGGGAGATAATAGAAGTGATACAAGGATACATGATGCAAGAGATTTTTCTTACTCTAATGTCAAAAATGATTAAATCACAACTTTTGACTCATTACATTCTTATTGTTCATAAAAATGATGTCCATAATGTTCAAAACATTCTACTGAAACTTCTTGAAGTCTGCTTTCTTTGATAGTGATTTTTTTCCGCACTCAACTCTTTAAAATTTATTGATAGCGTGAGTCTCCTATGTAGCCGTTCTTTTATATAGTCACACAATACTCAGGGGTATTGCTTGACAATGAAGAAAGGCTGCACAAGGAGTCTTACAGAAGCCAGGCAAGACCAAGATTTTAACCACCTGTATGCAGCTTAAATGCTTACTGATACTCACTCTATAGACTTTAACAGAGAGGTTAATAGCATCTACATTGAGAAGGTAATATCCATAATCAATCAAAGTGTCAGCATACTTTGGATGATTACATCCAAAATGTTGTCTGAAAAATCAAAAAAGGAACAATATTCCATACCAAATAACAATAACAAGGCAGCAACTAGTACAGATACAATTCAAAAACTCATTACTATTCATATAGTAGCCATATTGTCCAATTGAGGTCACAAATTGAATCATGTGTAAGGAAACCCAGCAAACTGAAAATTCAGGGAAGCACAATATCAATAATTTATCAAGACGTAACCAAGACAAAAGGTTATAAGAATCAATAAAACGACGACGGAAAGGTAAACCCTTTGGCCTTAGAACAAATTCTCTCAAACCACACCTATAAGCTTCCAGCCAGTGTTGCCGCAACAATTCTACTTCCTTAAAAGCTTAACCCTAATATGAAAATAATATTTAAATCCTCATGGGTACATTCTACATGGAAGTAGTGGAGTCTTGAGTCACATATCCTTACTTCCATGACCACTTTGTTTATAAGGCATTGATATTAATAACACGGGCAAGCTTAACAAAACGTGAATCAAGGTGTTTTTCTTACTTGGATAAAAACATGGCCTGTTTTATAAGAAGTTCTGCCTTCTTGAACTTTCTTTTAACCACACATGCCTGAAAAAAATAAAAACTTTTTTTTTTTGTTAACATCACTATCAAATAAAACCTTTACTTTGTCATCTGCAAGTACAATATTAGGGCCAAGATATTTTGTTATTTTTGTGCTCTGGTTTCTATCTGACCTTAAAGGGGCACAGTCAGTTATAGGACTGTGCTGACCTGGACACTACTTTTGCCAGTTTGACAAGCACTTACCTCAACCCAAAACCAAATGTATGCGTTGGATACAATCTAGAAATCTGCTTTGATATTGCCTAGTGTTTCATTTGATCCTCGATCTTATACTGAAAACCTCTTTTTGAGCAAACTTTTACACAACCCATAAGGTTTTATCATATTTGGTTAAACACAGCATCCAAAGGAACATGAAAAGAAGTAGTGGGAAATGTGAAGATGCCGGGCAGGAAAAATTAATTACCGAAAAAAAGAGAAATGAATCAATAACATTGCAGAACAAATCATCATTATATAAACTGTACAATTGGAAAATTGATGGAGAAATGTTACATATATTTGAAAAGTCAAGTTTTCTTGACCTTGAACCTTCGGCAATGATTCAGAATTCGCGTCATTTCTCACCTCTACTGATTCTTCAAATTTGGAAGTTTGGCTCTCCTTGGCCAAGTCCATCAGTGAATTCTCAATGGTATTTAAAAAATGAGTGCTCTGATATGTCTTAGGGTCTATAATCACGATTTTGACTCGTAATTAGTTTACATATTCCAAAGATGCACTTCTCACTTTCAGTTTTATGTGCGTCTTGTGATATGCAAATCAGCCAAGAAATGGTATCTACCGTATTTATTCGACTATAAGCCGATCTCGGCTATAAGCCGAGACCCCAAACTTTGAACGTGTAGACTCGGCATAACGAGAACCAAAAATAAATCGAAAACACCCGGCTATAAGCCGAGACCCATTCATTATTACAAGACTGAATTGGTAACTACGGGAAAACCTAACATTTTCGGAAAAAAATCACATTGATTGTCATAAATGAGGCTTAGACGATAACACACACGCGCGTATACAAGAGATGCAATGGTGATTTATTATGCAAACAGCTTCCCTCTTAAAAAGCACACGCGAATTAATAAATACTATTAGTATTAACCGTAACTAACTATTCAATTGAAAAGCAATGAATCATAACTCAGATGAATTAATGTGATCCAAAAAATGAATTTAAAACTAACTGTGTTGTTAAGCGGCATCACCAGTACCTAGACATCCGTAGCGTCTATCAAACAATCTCGTGTTCGCAATCGTTTATTTCAAGTCAAGTTGTCATCATGCCCAAAGCTCGTCGCACGTCATACAACCTCGCGACTTTAACAAATGGCATATTGTGTTTCTTTACTTTAGCTCGGCTTATACGTAAATACATTTCGATTTAGTAGAGTTTCCATGCCCCGGAAAAAATTTTTTTTCAAAAACTTTCGGCTATAAGCCGAGACCCCCTCTAGAGCCCAAATTTTAATTCACTTCAGTTTTAATTTGTGTAAAAATCGCTCGGCTTATAGTCGAATAAATACGGTAATGTGCATGTGCATCAGCTGAGTGTATCCCTTTAAACTGCAATCTGCATATTTTTAAGGTTGCATGGTTATTTGACCTTAGTTACTGCATGTTCTGAAATAAGAGTAATATTATTTTCTACAGAAAAGGAGAAAATGACACTTTACCTTGGATGCATTCCTAAGAATATCAACTACAGCCTGCAACATAAAGAACAGGTTTTGTTTTCGCAGTTCAAGACAACATAGTAAATAAATACCATGACACATGTTGATAAAAACCCAGGGCATTAACTGAGCAGGAACATTTATTCAAAAGGCAATACCTATATCTTAAATTAAATTAAAGCACTAATAAAGATAAATCTTAGGTTATTGCTTTATTTTCTGACACCAACCAACATAAAATTTCTCCTTTGGCAAATATTATAGTGTAATATCACCTCAGTTCTATAGAAAACATTACAACTTCACGCCGATTTAAGAGTGTATTTCAGAAATGGGCATAGCCGCTGGATTTTGTACCCTGAAGGCTCAATTTATTCCTCCGGACTTTCCCTTCGAGAGTGCTCGTTTTGACTCGGTTTAAAGAAGGTGAGATTTTATGGCGGAAGACTCAGAAGGGAATTCAGAGGAATTGAACAATGGCTTAATTAAGCTGCCCAGGGCTGCAAAGTTTTAATGGTATCCTTTTGTTCTAACTGTGTCAATAAAACTGCAGAGAATTATCGCACATATTGCGGTAGAAGTTTATGGATTTAAGTCTTTCGCAAAACTTCTTCGACTTGGACACGTATTTTTCAAAAAGTGGAATTTTGAGAGCTTCAAAAAGAGATCTTGAACGAGAAATTTCGACCACTGTGGACCGAGATTGGATTTTTTTTCTTGCCGAGGTTTCGAAGTACAAAGCAAGCCGCTGAAGCATTTTTTCTCGCCTATCGCTTAATAAAATCCGGCCGAGAGTTATCCATTCATTCAATCATAACAGTTATTCATTTCTCCAGAGCAATGAAACTATAGAAGCGTTTCTACAGAATTATTTCGAGGAATTATGAACTCCGCAAGTTTTGATCTGTCGATTACAGCTCTTGTTTTGATTTTAGATATTTCCCGTCTCACTCGACTACTCCGCGAATCAAGTTGTCATGCAAATCGGTGAACTGACAATACGCGTTATTTCGGGCCCTGCAGTCACGTAACTGAAACGCAAGGTTTTGTTCAACAAAAAAAAACTGAAAGGCAAGCGAAAACATCCAAAAAAGTGAAATTACGCTCTAATAAAACTGTGTCATCCCGTTAAATGCATTCACCGCTTGCGTTGTTTACATTTTGAAAAGAGTTGTTCGCTCTTGATTGCAGAGCTACTGAATGAATGAATGAAACATTCTAATAAATAACTTCCGTAGCAATTTTTTAAACGCCAAATTATTTTCAAGGCAAGAGAGTATTTAATAAAAAAATACTATTGGAGACCAGGTATTTATAAGCTTTAAACAACTTCAAATTTATCAGGCTTGTTTCCTTTGTAATACGGTGCGTGACCGAAAATATGTTATGCAACCAGAGTTGTCCGCCACGCTTAAAAGACTTATAAGCGTTCCCTCGGACTGCAGCAAATTTAACAGGCAAGTCCGAGTATTTTAATGGATAAGTTTAATACTCATCAGGTAACAATGGGGATTAAAAAGTCAATCAAGCAACAAAATTCGAAACAAAAGAGACATATCGCACCTAAATCAAAGGAATTCCGCTCGTGGATTCTTCGGAAGGTAATCGACAATGGCAAGAACAATAGCCTGAATATATGAATACTTGATAACCCCAAAATTTGGGGTACACACTTAAATCGGCGTGAAGTCGTAATGATCAGTAAAGTTGAGAGAATATATATATATATATATATATATATAAATATAAATATATATATATATATATATATATATATATATATATATATATATATAACAATAAATAGACTACTCAATATGAGCACATATGTATTTTAAACAAAATTTCAGGAATACTTGAGAATATATTTTCTTCGATGTCTACAATTTGATACATAGGTTATCACTGAGAAGTTTTTCATATTATCTAATCCACAGATGGCCACTCTGAACAAACGAAACGAACTCATATCATCCTGAAATTTTTTTTGCTGTATCATAAGCGCACGTAGGTTTTTTATAAATTAGTACTTTTTGAATAACGCCTCTGTCATGACAACCGCAAAAATATGTCACGGGATCATGTTGCTGTGTTAACCGTTGTGATGCTTCAGTGTGTATGGAGTTTAACTGATGAGTGGATCAACTTTTTGTTGGTCTACAAAACAGACCTGTATTAAAATCCATATGTGCTCATACTGAGTAGTCTATTTACTGTTAAACCGCTCCTTATTGTTGAGCACTGTTCTGGATCCAACGGTGAATTACCTGGATTTGTTTATATATATATCTAGCCGAATTTTTGAAAACCTACCTGAAAATGCACCAGAATATTCGCACAGAAAGCTGGCCATAGCCAGCTTTCTGGTCACTGCGCTGAGAGAAAACATAGGGGGCTTGCTGTCCTGCTTGGTCTCATTGTCAAGTTCAGTCCCTGAGCTAACTCGCCATGGGTTGGAAAGGGGCCTCCACGTCAATCCCTAGGGGGGGAGGCTGCTGCAAAAGCGTTGTACCTTCCGTTAGTCCTGGTCTGGGAGAGTCAGTGCACTGGTCACGTCTGCCTTTAGTTTGTCATGTGAAATTCTTGTGACGTTTGAGGCCCATTGGCCAATGAAAGCATTCCCCTCAAGCACGTGCTAGGCTGGGGGGTGGAGGAAGTCAGGGGGTGACTTAACCTTGAATTCTCTGCTTAGAACTTGCTGAAGTCTCAAGCGTCCTCCGTCATTCAGGGCCTTTAAGCAGCTAGAGTGTATGGACAAGTCCAGAGTGTCTTTTTGATGGACTTGAATGTTTCTTTTGCTAATCAGGAACCAAGAAGAGAGTCACCTTAAGAGAACCATGGGTAAGAGCTGAGTTTCTTGGCGATATTTACTTTAGTTGAGTCAGTTTAAGGTGTGTGGGCTCCTGGTGTCCGATGTTACGGTTTTCATAAATCCGGCTAGATATATATATATATATATATATATATATATATATAAAAATATATGATCACACTACCACAAGAGAATTACATTGTTGACTTTACTACAGTATTAAAATTAATAATAACTTAACACAACTGCATTCTTAGTTAAGTTTTGGTTTGGTGCTTAAACAGAACTTGTAAAGACTGAAAAATGATAAGTACTATGTTCTTGTAAAATCATGCTTTATCCAACATAAGGACTGAGAGTGTTGGCCTTTATTAAAAACACTTCTGCAATAGGACCATAATTTAAAACAATCATTTGCACAGAATTTAGAACAGTGTGTAGAATTATGACTAAAAAAATTTCAGTTAAGTAAATTTGTAAAATGACTTTGGCATTAAAACAAAATTATTATTATCAGAACTTTGAACAGATGTAAAAATTATTTGTTCTCAACTTACCTTCATGGGTAATCCAGGACCAATTCTCTGTAAAGCCTTCATGCTGCATATGTAAGCCTACAAAAATGATAATTACGTCAATGAGCATGTAGTGGCACATTCAGATCTCCAAGTAAGTCTGGGATGCACTCATCTAGACCCTAACTTGACATATTAAGAGAGAAGCCAGCCTGAAATAGTTTTTCTCGGCGCTGTAGGCTTCATTGTAGCCTTAAAATAAAGTGGGGAGGAGAAGCACGATGGAAGACCATGCTCCCTTTTGGTGAGGACATCAGTAAGCTGTGAAAAACATGTCTGACCCCATGGCAAAATAGCTACCTGATATAAAGTAAACTAAAGATTTCTTTTCCGAAGTAATGTAATCCAGCGCTTTTGAAATGTTTTCTTGATAGATTTGTTTGCAAATGCTGAAACAACTTGAACCAAGAGCTCTATATTATAAAAAAGTGCACTAACATATTGCTGACAGATAACCGACAAGTGACCAACAGTTGACCGACAGTTAACCGACTGTCAACAAACTGTCCACCAACACTTTTCAGTTTAAATTGGGAAAACTGTCAACTGACTGTTGGTCGTTTGTCAGCCGACAGATTTTTTTGGGAGCTGTTCTTCAATTTTTCCCCACTGATAGCTATAGCTTGATCTAATGTGATACCATATTACTTGCAGTCACAACTTCCATGAGTGATCACTCAAGTCCAAGATGACAAGATCTGTTGGTCCCTTTTATGTAAGAGGTGGTTGTTTAAGAGAGGTTACAACTACAGTTATTTGACTGAGAAAAGTGCTTTGACAACATTCAGAGAGGTTGCTGTTTCTGAGAGATGGTCACTGTCCAGAGGTGCATACACCAAACTTTGATTTGACTTTTCTGAAACTCATTCTCAGGATTTAATTTTTAACCCATTCACCCCCTTAACACCTGTAACTGCCCATATCAACCCATGTCCCTTGTGCCACTTGTGGCATCATCAGTTTCAAACATCATGGAAAAGAAAAAGAAGAGGCTGGGCCAAGGAGAGAATGCGGACTGTTAAAGGCGAAGTTAAACCCAAAAACTGTTTTGATATTAGGCTTTTTACACATGCCTAAACTTGGAAGCTGATATTTAGAATGAGGAGTAAAAGATTATGATATGATCAATTTATGAACAGTGTTTTGGGCAGCTGTGGTTCTTTTTGGCCAGACAGTAACCAGTAACTTGCATGAGTACCTTCAATAGGCATTTTTTGGAAACATTTCTAGCAAATGAATTTAAAAAACCACCTACATCAACCATCAATGATAACAATAATAATAAGTTATTATTATCATCATCATGATTATTATAAACATTATTGAATTCGATTTACCTCTTCATAATCACTTAAGGCAAACAAGAGACCACACTTTTCACCATAGAGAACAGCCATGTTAATTTCTGCATCTCTGCTTCCTAACTTGCTTGTAATCTCCATAGCTTCTCTGAATGTGTCCTTAGCTGCATCAAATTCGCAATTTGCAGTTCTGAGGTGAAGCAACCTAATACAAAACATAGGACAAACAGAATAAAAGAAATGGTATTGAGGAATATAACAGATCTAACAGGGGTGTTGTAAAGATGAAGGCGGAGAACAAAACCGCTACAAATTTCTTTGGTTCTATTTTGCTTTTATGCTCCTATGAAAGTAGCCAAGGGCATGTTCACAATAGCCAGGGGAAATACCTAGTGGTGACCCTTAATGACAGCTCTGTCTAATGTTGCTCTAGACTTATAGGGGTTATTTTCTGAGGTTTAAATTTACCCTTGGCTTACATTTTGACTTTCCTTAGTAACCAAGGGTAAAGTGTTAACTGTAATCAAAGGGCCTCTGCTCGCATGGTAAAGGTTAACATCCAAAACATATACAGTCAACTCTCTCTAAACATGTACAGACACCTCTATAAGATGAACACCTCTGTAAAACAGACACCTAAAGGAGGACCCTGCCTTTCATTACTCCCTTTATTTAACTCTCTATAAGACAGATAACTCTCTTTTTTATTATAAGTCAGACACTTAGTGCCGGTCCCTTAGAGAGAGTTGAGTGTTTACAGGTGCCATACATATTGAGAAAGGTGTCATTTTTTGTACCATGTTAGAAGTTTAGCTGCTATTTTACAGTCCTCTGGCTCTCTTGTATTACAGTTTTTAATACAAGGTGCCATACATATTGAGAAAGGTGTAATTTTTTGTACCTTGTTAGAAGTTTAGCTGCTATTTTACAGTCCTCTGGCTCTTTTGTACTACAAAGTTTGTAAGAGGTATCTAGTATCTTTTTGGCATCTTGATACCATCCAGCCTCTAGCAGAAAACTCCCTGAAGAATAAATCATAAAGTAAAACCAGGGGCCAGATTGCAGTAGGGAAATGTAGCAAGAATTGCTGCCTAGTTCATGTTCGTTAAAATAAAAGATAAAAAAGCGAAAATCAGTTTGTGCACTTTTAAATCAATGGCCATGGTGAAGAAGTTTTTCTTGGCAGTTTAGATGCAACTGAGTGGCTGTTACAGTAAATACAAAAAATAATGTTTAGAGGAGAGGAAGTTGTTAGACAGAGGTTAAAACAAGAGTGATATATGGACTTTTCGATAGGAAGAAACAATAATTAAGGAGAGGTGGTCACTAGTAGACATTTATTGATAACTATGCTTACTGGTAAACAATTTGCCATGGTTAACCTTAGACTTCATTAGCTGCATAATTTAGAAACTTACCCAAGGACATTCCAGATTTTAAGATCTTCTGAATGGCATGTTTCTCTAGCTTTTCTTTTCCTTCAGAACACGTCCTGAGAAACTCAGAAGCAAGGATTGATGAGAGATCAAATCCTTCCTCTTGCAGTCCTTGGAAGACAGCATAAAGCTTGACTCTTGAAAACACAGGAAAGGAAAATTTCAAAACCCACGGATCAATCAACCTGTTATATGTTAGCAATGAATTTTTTTGAAATATCTGATGGGTTAAATGCAATCTAAAAGGCCTTAAAAAAATCAGGGTGCAAAGAAAGTCACCTTAGATAATTTTATTAATTGATTGATTCATTGTAATGATATCTGTAAGAATTTCACTCTGTCAAATCAGCTTGAAAAACAGCTTTCGTTTTCTTGGTGTTTATTGTAAATCATGAATCCTCATATTTTTCGAATTATCTGATATCCACTCACTTTGTTATTGGGCTATATATCACAGTTAAAAAATTGGTCCATAACTAAGAGTTAAGACCTCAAACTTGGCCACTAAAAGGCAGGTAAAAATAAACAAATTGTACTCTTCATCTACTTAGGTACAAAATAATATATAGCAGAAACAGAATTGTTCCCTTGAAGGTTCAAGTCTTCATTAAAAATTTGTCTTTGACTAGATTTAAAGTTGAAACTAAGTGTGATAATTAAAATCAGATTCAAAAAATCAGAGAATTTACTAAAACCACTGCTATAAGGTAATTTACATTAGATTGTTTCTCTTTTAGCTGTCTGATTTCATAATATTGGATTTATTAGTTCATGCTAAATTCAGTAAGTCACAGTTAATATAAAATGTTAAACACAATAAGACAGCGATAATCAATATTCCTGGAAGCAATTGGCGTTATAAATGGACATATGGACACATATTTTCTTGAAATGTGAAACGTTTCTTGTTTTTTGGCTAGATCTTACGTGACTCAAACGGAATGAAATTTTATTTATGTTGTCACCGACAAATTAAGTTTACTCCCAAATCTACCATTACCAACCTTGTGTCTCCGGCTCTTAAAGCTTTTAAGACAACATCTAGTTCACTTAGTTCAGCTACCAACACTTCTGTCTTCCCTGTGTCGTACAGCTGGATAAAAACAAGCCGAAGGTGTTTTTGTGCTTAATGCGAACGAAGACTGAGATTGTGTTTTCACATACCCAAGTCTTAAAAACGCTACTGAATAGAAAAGATATTACTACCCACCGTTCTATAGATATCACATTGAACAGCATTAGGAAGCGATCGGAACTCTGATTTGTAAACATGACAGTTTTTAACGGCGCTAAGAGCTGCTAAATCATATAAACTTTCTACCCGCGAGCCAGCCGCCATGTTTACATCCGTCTCGTGAAGCTCCAGTGATTCCCATGATCCCTTGCTGCTCTACCGGAAATGAAATTACAGTCATCGGGCTCGTTTTGGCGCCAAAATCAAAACATTTCGTCCAGGACTCAGAGTCTGCCGCCATATTGTCCACAAAATTTCACGTAAACCTCTCTCAAACCTCGGCAGTCGCTCATATACCAGGAAAATACTTATCTTCAAGGCTTTCCTGACCCTTTTGCAGCTATGGTGAGTTAACATACCCATGTATTTTGGGGGTACTAAGCACAAACTCGAAAGCTTGAGAAAAGTTAAACGCTTGAAGGTAAAAGTCTTCAATGCGCGCATTTAGGCTTACATGTAAAATGTTGCCCCATGTTATTTTGTAGTCGAAGAAACGAGGCCTGAGTTTGGAAGAGAAAAGAACACGACTCTTAGAACTTTTCTATGAAAAGGTAAGGTACTGTTGTTTGCAAAGCCAAACTGAAACAGGTGAGGTCCAAGAAATAACAAATGTCCCCCCGGTTGAGGGCCTCCCTTTCCCCCTTACCCCTGCAGTATTCTGTAAACTCGGAGTCCTCCCTAACAACTTCATACGAAATGGTCGTATCGCTTAAGAATTTCGTGAAAAGACGCATACTCCTCAAGAATGCCATCAAATGTGTGTTCACTCCTAAAGAATGCCCCTTAAAATCAGCATTGACCCTTCTCCTGAAGAATTCCACCACCCAAGTCATCACCTGACTCGTCTGGGGAATGCTTGTATTCTATAACCTCAATCCCAGCTTTTTTCGCAAGAAATAAAGGGCAGGAAAAGAAAACCCCAATTACTAAGGATAACCCCCTTCCTTGTATTGAACAAACGTTCACCGAATGTTGCATCGAGAAATGAGCTTGGTAGATTATCTCTAAATTTACAAATAACAATGAACATTTTCAAATTTTGGATTCACCTTGAAAATCAACCCCCTGACAGCATTGCTAAACTCTGCTTAAACATATCGGATAAAATGGCCGAAGAAAATAAATCAGGTCTAATAAATAAAATAAATCTTTTGAGTACACAACTTAATATTCACAAACAGTCAGTTAACTTTAAAAACCCTTCTACTTTCCTATCCAAAGCTGAGAATACTTTGTCAAAACATCTGAAAAACCACCAGCTAAATTTGATCAGAACAAATAAAAAACTAAAATTCTACTCCATCTTTAAAAATGAAACAAATCACTCTGAATTCATCAATCATATCCGGAATCCTGAACATAGGCGTGTAGCTTCCAAATTTAGGATAGGAAATCATAATTTAAAAATAGAAACTGGAAGATTTACAATCCCCAAAACTCCTGAAGACCTTAGAATCTGTGATCATTGCAGCCAAAATTCGGTTGAAAATGAATTGCACATATTATTTCACTGTGATAAATACAATGATTTGAGAAAGACTCTTTTTATTAAAATCAACGACCGAAATACATTATTTACACACTACAATATCCATGATAAAGTCTGTTTTCTTTTTAACAATACTGATTCACATATAAGCAGGCTAGCTGCTAATTTCATCTTTCAAGCATTTGAAAGACGAAAGAAACATAGTTAATTCTACTATTCCATCATACCTGTATTTCCTTAAACTTAGCTGTTTATTATTGTTATTTTAATCGGTAACACCTGTACAAAATGGTAATACTGAATAAACTTGTTGTTGTTGTTGTTGTTGTTGTATTAGCTTTACCCCCCCTTGGACAAAGTAGCAAATAAGTGCTCCTCCTTATTCCCGCCCTCTTTCTTTAATAACCCTTTACGTCCCAGGAGTGACCATCATCAAGGTTCTCCTAACAATAAGAGAGATAAGGTTATGAGAATTATCAAAATGTTCACCTGAGAACATTTTCTTTTCCATTAAACTAACATTTTAAAAAAATTAAAACAGTGGCAGTGTGGCCAAAGAGATCAGTGTGTTGGACTTCCAATTTGGTGATCCTGGGTTCAAATTCCGCTCTGGCCACTTGCTGGATTTGTTCTTGGTCATCCCGAGGTCAAATCCTCCTGGGGTTCTTAATCCTGTTATGTTATATTTGAATTATTTGTTTTTTAAGTATTTGAGTGGAGTGCCTGTAAACTAGCTGGATAAGCTAAGTGCAGTTTCCACTATAAACAAACTTCAAATTAATTTTTTTGAATTTTTTTAAAGTCCATTGCATGTCACCCTTTTCTCACTCACCTTGCAGACCAAGTTCTTTAAAGTCAACCATCTGTTCTTTTCAAAATTTTTGTATCCTCATTAAAAAAAATGTTAACTTTGCATTGCTTTTGATACTTTTCATTTTAACAGAAAGAATTTTTTCTGCTCAAGGAACTAGAGAAAATCGCACCAAAGGAAAAAGGAATTAGTAAGTAAGCTAAAAGAAATTCAGAAATTATATATTTTTTGCAAAATTTGATTCAGGTATCATTAATAATAACTTTTGTCTTCTGTAGCATCCATGTCTGTTAAGGAAGTGTTACAAAGCTTGGTTGATGATAATCTAGTAGACACTGATAAAATTGGTACTTCCATTTATTTTTGGGCTTACCCAAGCAAGGCCATGCATACAGTAAGTCTGGACCATCATTTATATCAGTCCTTTAAGCATCAACAGTTATGAGCAACCAATGTTTATTTCATTGTACTTACACCCTTCAGCGACAGCAAAAGCTTCAACAGCTCACAGATCAAATCAGTGAATGTGAAAAGAAAATTGCCTCTACAACAAAGCTATTGAAGCAAGCTAACAGTGGCAGAGAGCAGTCAGTAAGTACAAAGTACCAACTTTTTGTATTGTCATTATATTCAAGCTCTAGCATATGTATGTAAAAAATAAGATCACTTCTACTCCTATGCTACCTGTCATCCTTGGTTCTCCACACATTTTACTGTTGTTCTTGTAATGTGGTTCTGACAACCTAATAATAAGCACCCATCTCGAAATAATTTATGTATGCTTATCTGTTATTTCCATTTTTGCTCTTTTACCATGCTCTATGTAAGTATAAGATATAGAGTTTCAGTTTATTGAAGAAAACAGTAATAAGTACCCACTTTTATGACCAATGTCCCCTTCTTGAATCAGTACCCTCCATTACATCTGAAGTTGTACATCAGTGAAATACAGCATGTTCTTCAATACCAGTAAGAGTCCCAGTGAGTCACTTTGTTAAATCAAAATTGCCCCTGCATGAAGACCCCGCCCTTTTTTAAATACTGCAGGGTACACTGGGAAATAGAAGACTGGGGGCCGAGAAGTCCCCAAGATTCCTTTATCTAACTTTTTATGATTTGATAATTATTATAAATATAGTCTGATAGAGATACAGTTCTCAAAGAGTTGGCTCAAAAAGAAAAACTGTGTAAAGAACTGGAACAAGAGCTTGAGAGATACAAAGAATGTGATCCAGAAGTACTGAAAAATATGCAACAAGAAACAATAATGGCAAAAGAAGGTGCTAACCGCTGGACTGACAATGTCTTTACAATCAAGACATGGTGCGTTAGGAAGTTCAGTCTGGAAGAAAAAATGATTGACAAAAACTTTGGAATTCCAGAGGATTTTGACTATATGGAATAAACTAAGAGACAATGAAATTTAACAAGCTTAACTGTGCTACTGAATGTTTCATTCAGTGAAATATTTTTAGAGGTGTCTTTCAGATTGGGGGACTTGATAGTTGAGGAACTACTGTTTAAATATGTCCCTCCTCCCTGCCTCACACTTGCTTACATAGGATCATAGGGATACCACAAGGAAAGACTCCTTTTTTTATTACCACAATTTCCTGTTTGCTAAGCTAGTTTCAGTGAGTTCTTCTATGTACATGACTGGTATATGCCAAAATAAATTTTTGGTTTGTCCATTTATTTTTAAATAAGTTTTGTCCCTCGTTGTTGCCACTGCTTTTAAAATAAAAGCCTATTAGCCCTTATTCATGAAAATAGGAGAAACGATTTGATGAGCAATAATAATGATTATTTGCATAACATAACATTATTATACTATAATATTGTTATGATATGTTAAATATAAGCAGACCTCCATGCACATCTGACTACAAAGTAACAAAATCAATTTTTACCCTAAAAGTTCTGTAACTTGAATTCCAAGGACAAGCAGCTCTCAATTTGCTACTTGTCACAGTTGTTTGATTCATTACGATTTATGTTAGAAGACAACTACCCAAGGCCCTTATCAATTAGGCAAGTTAACATGAAAAGGTTCCTTGCCCTGCAGTAATTTTTTTTCAGCCCTGTTAACTTGAACCTGCTAGTAGAAAACCAAACCTTGGCTTCTTCTGGTGTCACTTAAAGGAAGTTACAGTTTATATAGTATTTATTTAGTTTAAATTTGGTAGTGTTTCGTATTTAATTTAATTTTTGTAAGTTGTTGATGTTATATCAATTGACATCGAAAAAAGGTACCATATAAAATAGCTTTTAGTAATAGCATGTCAAAACCAAGACCACATAGACATCCAGTTTAGCAACTTGGCAGAAGGCCTCAAACATTGATAAACTGAAGAAAATCTAGGGGCTATTTTCCAATAATTACAGTGTAGACAACAATATTGACATACCAAATAAATTTGTGTGTGGTATCTTATTTGAAAATAATAAGTATTATACAAATAACAAGAATTTGACTTTGCAGTGCTTTGGCAACGTTACTCTTAATTTTATGTCAAAAGACCTCATGGAAATGCCTCTTGCACACAAGGTCAATCCCATAAAATACTTTTTTTACCTTTCATCCACAATAATTATTTTTTTCTTGGATAATACATTGTCACTGAAAATACCACTCTTCTTCTTCCAGCAGTGCAGTTGTTCAAAAGACAGATAAAGCTATACACTGGGTAACTCTGGGTAAATGCACAAATATTGGTTTTCCTACAGTTGGTTGTAATACTTATCTACTGAATAGTGATTTATCTAGTGGATGGCGCTATCCAACATTTGAACAACACAAGCCTGGTAACAGTTACATTAAGTTAAAATCCAACAAGTCTTTTGGTTGACTTTCCCAGTCTCCTAAGTCTTAAATATTCAGCTTCGTGTCTAGAAAGAATCATATTTTTCTTCTTAGGGTGAAGACTTAAGTTCTGAAGTGTTTCTTGAAAATATTCTGGAGGTGGTGCAGAAATAATAATGTCTTTTCCTTTATCAAACTGTGGTAGAATCAGTTGTCTTGCATGTAAATGAAGAGGTATCAGTGCCCTTTGCCATGGTCTGATTTTTCCCTTTGCACTGGGATCTGTTTTGCTTTTTACACCTTGAAATTGCAGAAGCTGAAGTAAGCGCAAGGGTAACACCTAGGAAAGGAAAGAAAGAAACTAGCTAAAATTGAATTCTGATTAAATATTTTTTAGAAGACAAAAAGTATGACTTTTCCAGTTAGTTGACATTTTGTTGAAGTCAATGGGAAGTATATAAGAACAATAGTGTCATTACTTTTAGAAGTAACTTTGTTGACTAAAAACAAAACATTCCATATCTATGAGACTTAGGCATATCCAGTTATCAAATGATGACTTTATAAAATCTCCGAATACTCACATAATGGCCCATAAAGTTGAAGGGTGAGATGAACATTTAAAAAAAAATTGCTGGCCCTTCAGACAAACTAATGCTGAAATTTACTAGCCTGAAGCAGTTGTGCAGGCCTCCCAACCCTAATCCCTTTCTTCCCTAACATTTACTTCAGCAAATACTGTTTACCTGTGGGTAACTCATAAAAAAAAACATGATAGCCTGACAGGTTCCTCCACTAGTCCCTAGAACTACTGTCAGACCCTGAGTTGGTTTACCTGTGGTTCACGAGCATCTGAAGAGAACTTATGATCACCCAGTATTGGACACTTGAGACCTTCAGCCACATGCACTCTGATTTGCTGTTTGAGTCCAGTTAGTGGCTCAAGTTGTAAAAGGGCACATGTGGTCTTGTTTGTGTCTAAAACTTGAAATCTTGTTACTGCATTTTTGAAGCCTGCAGCTTTCAATATCTGGGGGGAAAAATGATCATGAGGGCTGGGAGAGGACATTCATCATTTCACCTTAGGCAGAGGGAAGAGATTTTCTAATAGTACCCAAATGAGCTCATCTCTGTCAAACAGGGCAGAGAAAAATGGAAAACCCAAGTAAAGTTGACCAGTAATGATAATATATTTCATTATAAATCTTGTTCAACTACCCATGTATACTTTCTACTAAATAATTTCACAATCCTATGGCTTTTCACAGAAACTATACCCACCAAAATAAAGCTAAATAAATATTGCCCAGCAAAAGAAAAATGCTGGATAAGAACAGCAAAAGACAAGGGGAGAAAAGAAAGCAAAAGGTAAAATTCAAGGGGCATTGTCACTTTTGAACCCAACAAGTGATGGGAAAAAAATGGAATTTGCCTTTTGCACCCACCCAAACTTTGGAATCTGTAATTTGGCATCACAAACAAAAGCCTGCCAAGTGCTCAACTTGTAAACCAGTTTTTGAGCAGTATTGGTTTCTCTTGGCCAGATAGTAACCAGACAGAATTAGGTTCAAATGCCATCATTCAGCAAAATTTCCAGAGGTGAATGGGTTAATGTTTCACTTACCTCAGGAGATTTTCCAACCAGATCCCGCCTTGTAACAATACGATGTCCACTAAAAAGTTTAGCTTCCCCAACAGGAATGTTGATTTCTCCTTCTTCAAATGATGGTACTCCAACTGTAATGGCCCAGTATTGTTTTCTGACTATTCTATCTGTGAACATTTCTGCAACTTTCTTGGCTGCACTTTGTGATCTAAAACAACCAAAAATTTATAATACTGTTGACTGGTAATTTGGGTGGTTTTGTTTTGGAGGGTCTGGTGTAATTACCTTTAGCTTTATATTTTAAGGTTGTAAGAAAGTTTTAAAGTAGACAGTTTTATAATTTTTGAAGTTGGTGGCTGATTTTGCCATCTTTTACCAAAGAATCAGAGCAACAGCCTAGGGCCAAAAACACAATGCAAGGCTCAAAATAACGCACAGCAGGTCGCCGGTCATGATGACCGGCCAAATATTTTTTAGCCCGGCCAAACCCCGATTTTGGCCGGTCAAATTAATGAATATTATAAATATTTTTTTGCCCATGGAATATCAAATTACGCTGGCAGTAGATCGTTGTATGGCATTGTCGTTCAGGTTTTTGCCAGCAAGTTGGTGAAAAATTCATTCACACGTTGAGTTCCTTTCCGCGATTTTCGCCCGTTTTATGTCCGTTTATATATACCTTCAGTATCATCGTACGGCGGTGTCGGAAGTCTCCAAGGTCGTCCTATATCTGCATATCGGTGAAACTTGATTCTTTTCGTTGCCCGGCACGTGATCGAAAGTCTCCTCCACAAAGAAGAATTTCGTCACTAAATATTTGCGGCAAAGAAGTTGATTTGGCAAGAAATTTGTTCCACAAACAGCGTATTCGTCATCAGAAGTCAATAAATATACAGCAGAGCTTTCGTTTGGGTCGTCGCGCAACACTTTATCGCGAACGGCTTATCAAGAAGGAGGATTTTAAGCGCCGAGATAGGCGACGTTCGTTCTCGATTAGCTTAGTTTTTATCAGACAATTCTGGAATTGGGTCTGCAAACGAGATCATGTTCGACATAAAGCAATTATTATAATTAATTGATGCGCTGAAATTTATTCCCAGAGAAACAGTACAGGACGAGTGATCGCCGTATTAGCCCGAATTCCGTCGAAGGTGATTTTCACAATCCTATTACAAGTAGATGTGAAACGTTTGATGGACAAAAACTGTCACTCATCCTTTAGTTTTCTAAAAAATAACGGATTGTTGTTAGCGTATGTTTTCCCAAAGAAGGTCGCATGACTGATCACAGCAAAGCAGAGAGTTTTTCTTTAAAGGGTTTAGTGCAAAGCAGCAAAAAAAGCCAAAGAAAGCAGCGAATTACAGCGTTATAGAGCAAAACGCATTAAGCGACAAGCATCCAAAAATGACCAGTCAAAATGACCGGCCAGACGAGAGTTTGACCGGTCAAGCCCACGATCAGGCCGGACATTGTCCGTTGACCGGCCGTTATTTTGAGCCCTGCAATGTTGGTGGTGTATTTTGCCAGCCACTGGCTATGATTGATGACCCTACTTCACTACCCCAAACATTTTGTTAGAAAATCCTACCTAAATTTGAGGATACTTAACATTGGTTACAAATTGGCAATGAATCATCAATTATCTGGCTTTAGAGATGGTTAAATCAGAATTATCTCCTCTTGTTTTTGGAATTGCATACCTCACCAAAGGTGTCTAAGCTCCTTAAAGACACCTTTGCAAGCTGAAATAAAAGCCTTCATATATCTGCATATCTCTCCTCTAAGACATGCCCACAATCATGAATCAATTTAATTTGAAGATAAAAAATACCAATGAAAAGGTACTGTACCTTGTGAAAAGAAGAGTGCCACTGCAATCTCTGTAAGTAAATTTAAAAAATAAAACATTAAAACCAAAATGTAATAAATATAGTAACTAGATAAATTACAAATTTATAATTTTTTATATGAAGCAAATCACTTCCTTAGAAAGGCCTGCTTCATCATTTCCATCAAATTGATATCCTCCTTCATCAAAAGCATGTGCAAATGTTAGGTAAAGGTGCAACTAAGCCTTGAGGCTCACAGGGCTTAATCTGGTATCTGCAATGTGAGGCACCTTGGGTAGGATGCCCGTCCATCGGCTCTCAGGGTTTCACCAGGCCTCAGTTGTTCCAAAGCTGGATAGTGCTATCCACTGGATAAATCACTATCCAGTGGATAAGTATTAGGAAAACCAACCGCACTATCCACTGGAAAGAGATTTATCCCATGGATAGCACCATCCACCTTTTGAATAACTGGGGCGAGGAAAATATCTCTGTATCTCATTTATATCAGTAGTTAATCCAGGGGAGGGGTCTGGGATCCCTCCTCCCATAATTTTTAGAGCAAACTGAGGTCCATTTATGAGACTGGGGCCTCTCCTTATCTCAGGGTCTGGATGACTGCCCAAAAAATCCAGCACATTATTATAAGACTTGGCCATTTATCAAGGAAAAATCTCAGGGTCTTACATGACCACCCACCCACCCCCTCCCTTATCTGAAGGTCTGGATCTGCCACAGTATTACTCCTGAGTGAAGAGACATCGTGGAGCCAAGTCTCTTTCCTTTAGAAATAATAGGATAGTAAAGGCTAAATCAGAACCTACAGATCCAAAGTTCAAGGTGGTAACCACTCAACCACCAAGCCTCCATGCACAAACATTAGAAAAGGGCAAAAAATTTTAATTTTAAATTACCTATCAAGCCTATGTGCCAGCTCTGGTTTCTGTCCAAGTTTCTTTATTTCTGTAAACTCATCAAGCAAATCCATCACACATATCTTTACACCAGGACCAGCTTTAAAGGCAAATGTAATCAGATGAACTTACATTACTGTTGGCTTTCCTAATTATGTGTGATGGGGGAGCCCAGACCATAAATAGAATAATTGTTACTAGGGATGAGCATGTCTTAACTCTTGGGAGCTGGAAATGTGGGGCGCTTAGTTCAACTTTGTGATGACACATCACATGAAGAAATGTGAGGATTTCACAATCCTAGAAAGCAACCAGGGAAAGCAAGAAGAGTATTTCTAAAATTTGTAGGAAAAAGGAAGGTTACATGATGCAGTGCAGTTTTAATCTTGATTCTTTGTTATTATCACCAAGTTCAAAGTAAATCCTGTAAAAGAATAATTTACAAGTTGCAGTACTACCTATTTCTGGCTCATACTTGAGAACTGGCTAAACATGCAAGTTGTTAAATTTCAACGTTGTCTTTGTTTGCCAAGGACTAAATTAAATGTTCATTTGAGTAACCTTTTTGTTTCTTAATTCTTTTATTACTTACTCATACTGGGGACTGGTTTAGGTGGTTTTTTTTGTCTAAAAAGAAATCCCCTGTGAGGTGGGGAAAGACACACACACACAATAGAAAAAGAAATTACAGCATGCATCAGTCCTATTACATTAAATTTGCCCTATACAGGGTAAGTACTTTAGGTTTCTTTCTTTATTTATTTTTTCTTCTTAACAAGATCAGAGTTTCAAGCAATAACAGTACCACTACCCCCAAGCATGAGAAGAGACCACCCCAACCCTCTCCTCAATCCCCCTGAAAAACAAACCAGGCATTTCATTTCTCTACTTACAATGTACAGGAAGTCCATATGGTTTGTTTATTGCAATAATATCGTCTGTTTGAAAGTAAACAGAAAGGTTTACAAGTAAATTAATAAAAGTTTTGCTCGGTTGCATAGGACAAAGACCAAAAGATGTGCCTGATTAGAAAATAATAGTCAACGTTTCTCCGCACTTTGCTGATATTGACATACTTACTATTAATGAAAATCACTCTATCAGCCAAGTACTGGGCATCTATAAGGCTTGTTCCTAAGGCCAATCTTGCAGTTTTAGCAGCGAGCGCCATCTTAACCTTTAAATTTTTGCGACACACATTGGGTCACATACATGAAAAGAAGTTAAAATGCCTTGGTTCCAATTCCCTACCGAGCGCACATGTGTTGCGAAAGACAAAATGGCGAAAAGCATTCGGTCGAAAAGAAAACGCAAACTACGAGCTGAAAGACGACAGAAACTGAAGCCGAAGGTAAAAGCAAAGCTAGAAGAAGTACTTGGAATAAATGATAAGAAAATGATTGTGGAAGCGGAGGAATCTCGAGGGGGTACGGTGGACGAAACTCAAGAAGAAATACCACAAGCCAGTCAGGAAACCTCAAACAACGAAGAAGGCACAGGTAAAGATAGCATTTTGTACCATGAAAACAGCTGTTCCCAAAAAGGAGTCTTTCTACTAGTACCTTAAGTTAAAGTTGTTGTACTTAGATGAGCTAATGTCATGCACTCATCGGTAAATAAGTGCTCAGCACCAAAACAAGTACCTTATTACACGAAATTTTCGCGATTTTGATGTGCGCATATTTCGCGATTTTGCGAAAATTTTATATTTTGAATCACTTTAAATTTGCGTTTTTGAGTTCAGCAATTTACGTTTGATAGGAAATGTTATTAACATGCCTTTGAATTAAATGAAACGTTTCTATCAAAGGAACAATAACGTCAAAATTAAGAAAAACCAAGCAGTTCTCACAATTTCCACAAGCTATACCAGGCACGATTTACGGACAGGTTTTCAGCGTAAGCTTTCCTGTAAGCGGCTTACAGGGCTTACATAAGTTACTCGCAACAGCTCCCAGTGCCCCGCTCGGTTGTAAGCCCTGTAAGCGGCTTACAGAAAAGCTTACACTGAAAACCTGTCCGTAAATCATGCCTCGTGTGCCACAAGCAGTTCATGCTTGTATGTGAGTCAATTGACCACAACATCCATTTACACTGAAAATTCATCAGGAAAGTAAAAAATGTGATTTGTAAACGTTTCAGTGGTAATAAACTCCTTCTTGATTATGGACATAATGTGTGTCACTAAAATTTCGCGTCATGTTATGTTCGCGACACTCGTTGTTCACGTCACTTAAATTTCACGATTTTTTTGGTATCACGAAATTCGTGAAATTAACGTGTTGCGAGAATTTCATGTAACAAAGTAATTTAATTTAAAGTAGCTCCCAACCGTTATTCAGACAGTTTTTTGTGTTGTAGTCAAGTGGCTCAAAAATCTGCAGGGTCAACTCAGTCAATTGTTGGTTTTAGGTCATGATACCATTCTACCTGCAAGGATCCAACCTTTGTTTAAAAAGTTGATAAGGATATTCTTGGTGCTCAATGATTTGGTAGAGTGACAGAATGGGGCTCAATCATATTCGAATAAGTAAGAATTGAATCCTGTCACTTCACCACCAATAAAATTGCCATCAAGAAGTCGACTCCCCGATTAAGAACGCTGAAATAACTGACACGCCAAGGATCATAGCTGATGTCAAACAAAAGCCATATAATCAGTCTCCATTTTGTCAAGCTTAATCGAATATTAAGTTGACCCAAATTCAAATCTGATGATGTCAGAAACTGTCATAAAATCTTTGTGTTACACTTTATGGGGTTCAAATTTTCTTTTGTTCATTACAGACAATTTGGATTTGAGCCATAGGTGGTCTTACTGGAAAGATCATGGGTTGTATACAGCAATTTCGAGAAAGGTTGTCGGACAAAATGTGCACTCGACAATCCTGAAAGGCAATATGGGATATGGTCAATACACTGTTCCTGACACTATAGCTGTCAAACCTACTTTTGTTGCTTTCTTTTAGCACTTGCAAACATACTTCCGCCTCTTGTGTCATTTAATTTCTTTCAAACTTCTTTGAATAACAGTGAACTCAAAACCACCCACAATACCTTTCGGGATTGTTGCGTGCACTTTTTGCGACAACCTTTCTCGAAATAGCTGTATGTTGCAGTTAGTTTTTTTTTTATTTTAGTTAGTTTTTGTTTTTCCTTTGTTTCAAATTCATTAGCACACATTACCATACCCTAAAACAATGGAAAAATAAAAATTAAGATAAAAAAAAATTGACTACAACATATATATGCATATGTACCTTGTATGGGTGTCTCAGGTACAGGTTGAATGCTTCATTTTTCTTTGTTGTGGAAGGTGATATAGAAAAAAAGGTTGGATATTCTCTATGAGACTAACTGTCATTTGGCCTTCCTTTTTTTGCCAGAGGATGTTGAAATGCCAGAAGATGGACCTCAGAAAAAACTTGGAAAGAAAGCTCTACAAAAACTTAACAAGCAAAGAAAGTTAAAGCGGCTCAAACATAAGAAACAAAAGAATAAAAAACTATTCAAGTGGTGATATTGAAAGAAAAGAAAGATGAGATGATGTTGAAAAGCCAAACATACCAACTTCCCAAATGAAATTTTGGTGACTTGTCTTGTGGGAAAATGAAAATTACATTTCAAGTTTAAAGTTCAAGGTCACTGAAAAATTCCTTGATGTTACAAAACTAAAAACTAAGACAATGTTTCAAGTGTTTTGGATGCCAAAAGAGTACTTGCCACAAACACACTTATATATAAATAAAAACTTGTTGCCAAGGTTTATCTATGTAAAGCTTGTTTGACTGCAATGCCTCATTCTACTGTAATCTTTATTTTCAAATACATACTAGGTAAATGTAAGAATATGGATGTAAACAGTGATCCTGCTGTGTTCAACTTGTGAGAAATACACATTATTTTGATGTGTATTTCTTTTTTGTAACAGAGTAGTAGAACTCAAAACAAAGACAGGGGTGCAATGTTAAGAAGTTACAGTTGAACAAGAAACTAAAGAAATATGGACCAGTTCAAACGTCCATCTTTTCATATACCAAACCTAATCCTTCAATTACGTACATGAAAAGATCGACATTTAAATTAACCCTTAAGTCCCAATGGTGACCAACATCAATTTTCTCCTAACAATATCCATACCCTGTCATAAGATAAGTTACGAAAATTTAATAAAATGATCACTCAAGCAAAAATTCATTGATCCATAATCAAATTCTCTCAACTAATTCTTTAAGAATAAGTTCATTGTCTGAATCAACCGTTGAACTTACATCAGTTGGATCAACCCAAATAAGTACAGTGAAACCTCTATTAAGTGGACCCCCAATTAAGTGGACACCTTCTGTTAAGCGAACAGTAAGCCAGATCCCGAAATTAATGCCTTATATATTTCCCTTTATAACGAACCCTTATTCAGCGGGCACCTCTATTAAACGGATGTGGACACTAAAATAGATTGTATTTGGCTAATTTCTATTGTTAAAAACCTCTATTAAGTGGACATCGGTCTTAATTGACAATAGTAGTATTGGATTAGGTCCTTGAAATACGTACTGTAGTCGATTAATAAAGATAAATCAATACATTCAGATGTCATTAAACTGTAGATTATACCGATATCCGGCCATATGATTGTCATCCACGATCAAAGTTCACCTAAAAGTCTTGGCCAAAGTACAGCACTTCATGGAACTTTATCACAGTACAGACCAACTGTTGAATGTTAATCTTTCACAAACATTGCACAATTCTTACAAACCTGTGTTAGGCGGACACCCTCTATTAAGCAGACACTTGGGAAGGTCCCGGAGGTGTCTTCATAATAGAGGTTTCACTGTATTAATATCGGTACATGAAAAGTTCAACTTTTTAACTGGGCCTAACGGGTAATAGTAAAAGACACTGCAATGTATATCTCCTTTTAGGCCAATATACAAGACTTGATTAGTACTTCGTGCATTTCATAATAAGTTACTTTACTTCTCTGTCACTTGTGACTACTGACTTGTGCACATCCTGTCCACGTAATGTAACAACAGGATGTTGTGTTGATTTTTTTAGTTTTCACTGTCCAAGCCAAAGCAAACAAAATTATGGAGTCGCTACTAAGCTCAATTCAATGTTGAGTCATCTTGTTACTGTTGGCATTCTTTCTTACAGATCATCCTGCCGTGTTCTTGGTATTAACAGAGAGGTTACGACACTTTGTAGAACCAAACTGGAGCAAATTAAAATGCAACTCAGTTTTTCAGGTTAGCTCTTCGAGGGTGTTGATGATCATAAACCGTGAGAACAAAATGTATAGCTTTCTAAACCAAACCAACTGGCTTCTGTGAGCATGCATGGCTTTCTGTTGAAAAAAAAATTCATATAACTCATATGCATTTTATTTCAGTTATTAGTGTTACATTTCCATAATAATTTAGTAACATGGATTCGAAAAAAACCCTCACCTGTGCTAAAACAATCTGCTGAGGACTTGAAAGAAACATATGCCTAAATATGGAGTAACATCAAAATTTCCCATTAATATTTTTCAAATACTACTTGCTTTATTTAATTACTGTTTATGACGATAATCATGATGGTAAGGTTGATGATGATGGCGATGGTGATGAACAGTCTTCACCAATAATGAATGAAGTATAGGAATCAGCGTTCATCACTAACGCTGGTCCACTACCCCAGGACTTCATGCTGGTCTAGTAAAAATGTGCTCCGTCTAACCCCAAGACCAGTTAGTTTAGCAAAAAAATAAATTTTCTACCACTCAACAAACTGGAAAGTTCTTTTTCTAAAACATTTTATCAGTAGTTAGTTGTTATAGTTTGAGTATTAGAAGTAAGCCAAAGGACTTGCTATCCACGTCATGGAAGCATTTGTACGACTGACTCTGGTCACAGCACGTATGCCTGATTGGAAATGGAATTATGTCCTTGTTTCCATGTAACTCAATAAATTAGGGGCCTGGGCCTAGGTGAACCACAGGTTCATCATCTTGGAATTAATTTTATTTTGACACATTCACCACAACAATGAAGAAGCTAGACCTCAGCTGTTTGTTTATTCAACATTAAGTGAAAGTTGAGTTGAAAAGGGTTGATTTGGGTTTTAGTCTATTTATTTTAGTCCACTTTTGACAATACTTACTTTGAATAAGCACTAAGGGGAAGATCCAGTAATGAGATGTACTTCCTCAATAAATTTGTGCTGCTTAGTGTATAAATGGCAATACTCTCCAGCAGCCCTTCATCATTCAGTCTCTTTAGTGCTTTATAAATAGCAATATGGTTTGTGTGGCCTGACACCCCATAAGAGTCAAAAGTTAGAACCTATTGTGGGCAAAGAGACAGTCAGACAGTTCAGAATTATGGATAGACCTCTTTTAGCTTGTAACTTTTGTTTACCCATATCAAACCATGTGATGTTACTCCAGAGAGCAGTCTTTCAAATGTTGTCCTATTAACATGTATATGTATCCATAATTTATTTTGTAACAAGATCTAAGGCCAACTCCCTCCCTCCCCAACATCACATGGTCTGAAAAATCGATGGGAAAACACAACTCACTGGCTGAAAGGTCTATTTGGCAATACTTGTGCCAAAAATTATATAACACAATTTCATTACCAATATATTGGACTGGACAGTAGCCTGGATAGCAGGCATTTGCGATGGCAACAGTCAAATAATTTTACAGTTGAATGGTTGGGAGGGGTTGGCTTCAAAGAACAATACACATTTTGAATCCATATGGTTCCAAGCTTTACTTTCACTTCAACTTCAAGGCCAAATTCTCAGCTGAATTTACCTCAACAGGCAGCGATTTTGACACAACGATAAAATTCAATGCCTTAATTGCATGTGGTACCATTTGCTTTAGATGCAAAGCTGGTTTACTTTGCACCTTTCCTCTCTTTTCTCCTGAGACCCAGGATAAAAAGAAAACCAATCGACTGCACATACTTCTGATATTACATCGGACAAATTTTGGCTTTTTCCCCCTATTGCAGAGAATAGTTTGCTGGCTCGCATAAGGCTTGCCAGCGTGCGATAATAAGTAAATATGGCAAGTCATGTCTGTAAAAGAAATGCTTACCACTTCAATTCTGTTGATCTTGATGTGGTCAGCAATAATTCTGCCAACAAGCTTAGTATTCCACTCCACTTGTGGGTCATCTGGAAGGGAACTGTATAGTCAAAGTAAAGTAAGGTATCCTTCCTTACATACAGAATACATAATTTTACCTGGATTCATCTTTATTTGCAAAGCACCCAAATTTCAACACAACCATAAGGTTGCATTTGACTTCTATTATTATCAGTTGACATAATAACTAGTCTGTGTAGTTATGTAAATAGTTTACCTGTGATCAACTAAGGTCACATGATTGGAAGGAATTCCAAGGATGCCACAGCTTGATACCAACTCCTGTCTTCTTATCTTGCCTTGTTTGTAGTAATTACCTGGGATAAGAAGAGACAATCAATGCAAAATAATAAATATTATTATTCATTCAAAATATTTTCCCGATTCTGATTGGCTAAAAGCACACGTTTAAGCGAGGGTATAGCGAGGGTAGGGGTGTGGCTGGTATTAAAATGGAATGGCCCTCCTAAGTGGGAAAATAAAAAAACGAAGTGTTGGAGGGGTGGGGTGGGGTAGAGTGTTGTAGGGGAATTGTAACTAATATGAGATGAAATTTACGCTCTTACCAGTTGAGAGGCACAGAAGATGACTAGTGGAACATCGCCTGAGATTCAAAATGGTGGGACAGAAAAACATACACTCATCGTCCGGATGGGCCGTTACAACAAGAACGTTTTTCTCGGCAAACTCTAACCTGCTTTCTTGCTGAATTTTGAGTTGTCTATAGTAATAACCTACAATGATACCCACGAAAATAAGCGCGAAAATGAGGAAATCCGAAAACCCGTTGAGTCCAAATGAAAACATTGATGTGTTTGGTTACCAAGTGAAAACTGCCTGGCTGCTAAGGTTTTCAAAGCATTACATTTTTGTTGTGGTGGTGGCGTGGCTGTTGGCGCGAAAAATATGCGAAAAATGTCCTTAGATTATCTCCTTTCCGGTGTGTTTTTGTCTATAAACTAACAGTTTTCCCAATGGAAAAGGGTATTCAGCAAGGAAACGAGGAAAACGGCCAAGAAAAGCAAGAGAAAACATACAGTGAAACTGATGCTGTAATCGTGAAGACTCCTCTAAACACTGTAAACGTTGTCGTTGAAAGTGAAAACGTAGAAGTGGATACAAATGAAATGTACAAAATAGAAAATGGACAAGACTTTGTCATTGACTCAGAGGATCGAGAGGTACAGGAGGATGATGGCATCATGGAAAATCAAGGCCGTAGGATCATTTCCACTCTCACTTCAAAACACTATGCAGCACACGTGAGACTCTTTAAAGGTAACATAAGCTTATACATGCAATCGGTTTACTGGTTTTAATCCGACTGAAATAGACAACAAGCAGATGAATATTTTGTATTCTTCTGATATCAGTGATATTTGGGTATGGATCATTTTTATTTCTCTTAATGACCAAAGCCCTCTAAAGGGTTAGGGATATCTTTGGGAGGTTAGATGAGGGTTTTTTTTTTCATTGTTTATTTAATTTGACCGTTTCGTGGTATGTGTGAACATAACATAGTTTATTATTTCATTTGAAAATAATACCAAGTTGATTTCAAAACTTTGGGTATTCTCACTAATCTTTGTTTTAAAATTTTTGAACATTGGGTATAAATCAGTGAATCACGGTCACTATTCTTTTGTATATAATTTTTAGAGTGGTTAAAAGGCAAAGGAATTTCAGAAGTGTTTGAGGAATGGGAGCCAAAAGTAATAAGTGACAGGCTATCAGAGTTTTACAAGGAGTCTCATTTAAAACATGGTGGCACCAAAAGAGTCAGCTCTCTTAAAATCATACGTGCAGCAATTGATCATCACCTGAGGAGTGCACCTTACTGCAAGTCATACAGTCTCACTCATTCACCCGCGTTTATCAAAGCAAATACCACATTAGTTCATTTGGAAGCCTCACAGAGAGAACTGCTAGATTCTTCAGAGAGTAATTCTGGTTCTTTACTACTGACGGTGGATGACATTCATAAACTTTGGGCGACAGGTGTAGTGGGAATAAAAACACCTAAATCTCTTCAGCACCTGGTATTTTTAGGTATAGGAATTAATTTTGGCATTATCTCCAGAGAAAACTTGCGTGATCTGAAACCCAGCATGTTTGAATTCCATATTGATGAAAATAGTGGTCTAGAGTATGCATCATGCAGCCTATGGGATTCTGTATCGACTCAGTTGAAGAGGAATAAAAGTAAATGTACAGGTAGAAAAATGTTCAGTGTACCTGGAAGCTTGCAGTGCCCTGTTGCAGCTTTGAAATTATTCCTTAAAAGGAGAAACCCTGCTTGTTCCGCATTCTTTCAGATACCCAATAATTCTGAGTTTGAGTTGAGCGGACAATGGTACAAGGCACAACCAGCTGGATTGAATGCTTTGTCAAGAATGATGAAAGACATGTCACGTCAGGCACTTCTGTCCAAGGAATATACCAATCACAATTTGCGATCCACACCTCCTATTGTTTTGTACAAGGCTATGGAAGATGTTCCATATCTAAAGCTTCCTAGAATAATACCTCAGGCAGATCTTAACAACAAAGTTGCATTAAACAGTCCTGGAACTACAGTGCTGAGTTCAGTAACTACTCTTCTGATGAATACTCAACCTGTTAATGCAGACAGAAGCTATACACTTTCACCTCCAGGGGATTCAAATCCTGTTGAGACAGCATCTAATCACATGGCCACTGTTAGCAATATTGGGAATCCCACAGGTAACACTACAAACATTCCTCAGAACGCACACCAAGTGTATTGCATTTCTGAGCAGTGGAACATGAAAGATATCATCAGGGCCATTGATGCTGGAGATGCAGTAGTGATCACAAAACAATTAAAAAAGAGAGAACTACAAACCCACGAGAATGGTGAAACAACATGTTTGAGAGATAATCAGCAACAAGGGAGGGTTGCATCGCAAAGTTTTGGACGTGACAGATCTGGGCGTAAGCAGGTAAATAACAGACTGAAAATAACTAAAAGCTACCCTGTTTTTGCTGATATTACATGTACTTCAGTAACCGGCATGCAATGAAACGTGATAAACCACTGACTTTTGATGTTTTTGTTCACCTTTTATTATTTTCCCTTGTGTCATGAATAAGAACAAATAAACAGCTTTTTGTTATTTTATTTATTTTATATTTAAAGCCAGAGCCTAAACGTTTTTGCCGTGATCCAAAGATTGTTAAAGAGGAATTAACAAAGGACAAGGTAAGGCTATTCACCTGAACTTAATTTCAAAAAATATTTTGGCAAAAATAACCACAGATTGACAAAGTTTCCAATAGAATCTAAGTCCAGTCTATCAACCCTTATTTTGTAGAGCAGACTGGTCATTTTTGAGAAGAGATGGGGTGAAAAGAATGCATGATACATTTTTTCATCAACCGCCCACCCCCTTGCTTTAAATTAACATCTGGTCATCCTGTCATCAAAGGCATGAAAATGTCTGCTACCAAATGTTTTTTTTATCTCGGGGAAATCAACAGATATGTTTTTACTCACATTGCCAGCATCAATGCAAGTTTATTGGAACAAAAGATAGAGTTTACATAAGAAAAGAGTTCCACACCCGCAGGATCAGGGTTTTCATTAGGCATCAGAGATCAGAGAATTCTCAGTTTATTACGCAGAATTCCCCAGCTAATGTTCGGTAGCCTATGCCTATTTTTTATTCAGACGTGGAACCTCTTTCAAAATATTCTCCTGTAACGTTACACCTTTCTCTTGACATAACCAAATACAGTATGTGTCTGTACTCTCCCACAGCTCATATCTTGAAACCATCATGTCATTTCTAAACAACACTTGATGTAAACAAAAACAGGAGCTTGTTAGCCAGTGAAAAACTTATTTTCTTGCTCTTACACTGAACTCTCGGTTAGCCTTGAGATACTGTATTACACTGTTTGTTTCGCACGAGTCAAAACTTTTACTCAAAGAAGTGTGAGCATGAACGTTTGCTTATAATGAAAGTTTCGGTGATTGAACAATGAGAAAATGATTCACTTTTCTAATACATTTTGACAGTTTTTAGTGTTTTACACAAGTAAAACACTAGTATTCATCACAAAGAGGTTCAACTTTACTTTCTTATCATTACTGGTGTCATGTTACCTCGACTCTCTATAAGCTGGACACCTCTCTAAGACAGACAGTTGGGGCCGGTCCCTAAGGTTTCTGTCTCAGAGAGAATTGACTGTAGTTCAATAATTGTTCTTAGTTTCCTTTGTTTCCTAATCCTATTTAATCATAATGATGAAATAGGTTAAAACCATTTGAATCTGAATTTCATTTTAACCTACAACATGCCGGTAAAAAATATTATGATTATTTTTTATTCTTCAATTTATTTTTGTTCTTACTTTAAGTAACCCATGTTTTCATTTGTTTCTGGATATACTAGATTGAGGATGGCTTATTAAAGGCAATAAATGATATGAAGACTGGGCTGCAAAGCTTTGAAGACCTTGTAACAAAACAGCAACCTTCTGAACATGTTATTCAAGAGTTGTCACAAATAAGTGACTGCTTTCAAGAACTTTTGCAAAGGATTAACACAAAGGGAATGATAGTACAATAAACATCTGAGGGTGTGTTTGGCTGGTAACAAAGTAAATCTTGGTAAATATTTGCCTGGCCTGGGGCTAATGTTGGTAGAACTGAATACCAAGAATCTAGTAATAATTTTGCTATTAATATTTTATAGTTTATTTCCAGTTTCTCAATATTTGTTTGGGTATAGAGGGAATCCATGGCAGTGATTTGGATGTCTCTCTGAGTTATTTAAAATGGTTTAAAGGTATTTTAAATACTACATACTCAACTTGTCACCTGTTCCTTAAATCCACGTCTCAGTTATTATCTGAATGCATTATAGCCTGCCTTTATGTTGGTGGATAAATAACATGGGTATTTAAATTGATCTTTCTTAAGTTATATTTGTGGTAATTAATTGACAAAATTTTTACCTGGAAAAAGGTAATTTGCAGTTCCTTGCATGTGGGTTTTACTGTACTGAAGCCATTGCATAAACAAATGCAGTAATGAGTGGAACACAAAGGACAAGATTGAAACTAACAGATATATTTTTTAAAGAATATTTTAAAAATTCAAAAAAGTTATATTATTGTCATGCATAATGATAAAAGGTATACATTCCGTGCCTAGGGGATGACTGCTTTATGGGAACTGTTTCACAAGTTATCTTATATACCTGAGAACTAGAGGGAAAACATTAGCTGTAATATAATTTTTTAAAGCATTTTAACAAGTTTTAAGCCTCTTGTTATTTGAAACATTTTAAAACGTAACTGTTGATACCATACTTTTTTCTGTTATAAGGCACACAAGCATATAATGCATTCTGAATTAAACAAATTTAGAGTAGTCATGTAAAATTTTGTTGACAAAATGCCGCAACTTATAACTGAAGAAAGTATGGTTGGTTCATTCTCACTCAAACTTTAAATTTCTTGAGTATTTCCATTATTTTGAAACAAAAAAATCAAGGATTATTTAAGTGTATTTGAACCTAAAAGGAACGAATTGTTAATTCTTACCCAAAAGCTTAATTTCTTGGGCATTTTGTTTATTGGTTATTTATACATTATTTATAAAGTTAATTCCTTTTTTTGTAGATGTTGTAGCAGTTATATTCATCAAGGTTAAATGGTAGAAGGTTAAGGTTATATTATACAAAATACATATACAGTTGGATTCAGGACATTTATTTGGACCCAAAAGATTAGAAGATGTTTTACTGTTGATGAATAATTATTTGTAGTATTGGAATTATTTACTTGTCTTGGAAAAGCTAATGAACCTAATTGAGAAGCTTGTTTTTTGTAAGTACACTAACACTTCATTGGGAAACAGTGAAGTAGTCTGTTATCAATTCATTTTGGAACATACAATTTACTAATGTAAAGTTTCAGGGTATAGGGTATTTTCTTTACGTCTTGTTAGCCAAATAAACCGGGTGGGGGCAGCCTAGTCCTAGGCATTCTCTCTTGCCCTATTGACGTCACAGCTCACGGTAGATTCCAGGATTGACCGAGCTGAGAATGCCTAGGGACTAGTTTGGGGTGGGGGAAAGACGAAATTTTCCTTACCTCTTTCACTCACTTCCCTTAGGTGTACTCTTGTCAGTTTAAGTATAAGTGTGTCCCACAAAGCCCGGGGCCTATTTAGGGTTAGGGTTAGGGGGGAAAGGATTGAAAATGATCCCCCGTTTTAAGTCCCCAAAAAGAAAAAAGAACACCCTGTTTAAGAAAAAGTGTTATTTCTTCTTGAAGAAGTTCATCATGCTAGTGAGGTTAAACAGTCGATTTAAATGTTCTTAAACATAGCCAGTCTTAACGTCTTATTGATGCTGAAACTTTGGGTACGAATCGTCTGGGTACGAAACGTCCGGATTCCCCTTTCATAAGCAACATCCAAATATTGGCATTTTGGGTGGTCGCTTCAACTGTGAGCGACAATGAACGACGCAAACCCCGGACTAAATAAGCAGCTGAATAATAAAATAAGCAGATATATATATATACAGCCCCAAATGGAAGAAAACATGTGAAAGCAGGTCTTTTTTAACTTCTGATTGGTTGAGAGAATCTTTAGCCAATTACATCATAAGCTAAGGTGCTTTTGACAATAATGGGGAAAATTTGCATTTTATAATGCGGGCTGACTACCCCTGGCGGGAGCATAACTAGGGACCATAAGATCCGACGACGGTAACAAGAACGCCAAAAAAAGCAATAGATTAAACAAGCAAAACAAAAACTCTCCATTTGCCTCTGTACACTTTTTCTCACATTTCTTTGCTGTGACAGCACGTTTTATGAAGGGCGTCAGTAAGTGACGACGAACTTTTCTATCTCTTTCTGAACTTGGGTATTTTGTTGCTTTTAGGAATTCAACCCCGGGATAGTTCGCCTACATTTGACAAAGTAAGCGAGTCGTTAGAATTATCGCAATGAAGATTGAAAAAACGCGAATTCACTTTTCAAACGACGTTTGAAAATCAATAAAAAGCAAACTGTAGCTTCAAATGGGTAGATTCGACCTTTCAAATCACTCTTTAGATTTCAAAAAATCCTCCGTACGTTGTACGCTGACATTTCAGAAAGGCCTTTTTAGGATGAGCAAGGACCACAAAGCTCGCCCTGCTGAAAAAGGAAACCAAACGTGACAAAAAGCCGGAAAATTTCTTGACGAAGTTCGATAAGTAAAAATAGACAGCTTCAAAATTGCAGAGTTTAGAACTGGACCTACTTCTTGTTTGTTAGTGACTTTTTAAAATAGTTAAACTCTATCACATTAATCTAATTTTGTACATTAGGTATTACTGTTAATGGTACTATCAACCGCTATTCCAGGCCGGGCCCGGTTATCTTTCATTTAGTTATATCTTTTAGTTTTAATAGTTTTTACGTTTATTTTCCGGCTCAGTTCCCCAACCCCTCCCCCCCTCCTGCCCCGCCCAATCTAAATGTAAAACAGAAAAGGGAAAGGAAGGAGGAAACGGATCGGAAACTACACAGAATGAAGATAGAACAGAAGCAGATCGCAGAAAGAAGGAAAATCAACAGGGAAAAAAAACGGAAATAAGAAAAGGAGAAACACAAAACAGATAAAGAAAACAGAAAAAAGAAATAGAAGCATGCAGACACAGAAAGAGGATAAGAGAAAACGGAAGACCAAAAACGAGAAAAAGGAAAACAGACACAGAAAACAGTAGCCTGAAATTCATCCGATTGCTTCGAGTCGTTTTCTCCTGTGAGGGAGTAATAACGACTCGAAGTAATCGGATGAAATTCAGGCTAAGAAAACAGAATCAGAAACAGACAAACCTATCAATGGATAGTTGTTCAAATTGATCTTAGAGTTGAGAGTTCCATAAGGAAACGATTCCGAGGTGACGAATAAACGGTAAATTTTCCTGTGAATTCTCCTGAAGCTGATGAAGCCGGGCTCCGCACTGAGGGGCTCCTGAAGCTACTGGAACACAAAACTGAGGCAGAACGGTTAAGCAATAAGAGAAAAACGAGAAACGAAACAGAAGACCAAGTCATAAACAGCCTGGAAAACGACGGAAAAAGGGACAGAAACAGAAAAGAGAAACGAAAAACTCGTTATAGAAAATAGCTTTATGTTCCCAATTCAAAGGGAAGAGGAAGTAACACGGGTATTTTCTTCACTCACACCATGCATATGGTTGTGAGAATGCGAAGTACCTTAGAGACTCATGAGTCGGTTCGATATGAACGATGGACAGGGGCGAAGATGAGTTCAAGCCGTTAAGCCCGGGCTTAACAAATCAAATGTTGACAAGGCGTGAAATTGCACCTAGTCCACCTAGTGCAGTAATCAATGTCTGTCGAGCTGATGGGCAAAATTGGCACATTATATAATTCTCTTGGAAAATCTGTCGCTGTACGTCATCTTGGTCTTTCAAGCAGATATATCTATGAAGAGATCTCCTTTGTTTTTATACTTTGATTACCTGCTAGAATCGTATAGGTTAAAAATTAACTCGTAATTTGTGGGGGGGCGCTCTCAAATAACATCTAGTAAATCGTTCTGTCCTTGTTTGATTTTCTTTTCTTTTTCTTTTGTTTTAATTTTTGCCTTTTTTAATTCTGGGGATTAACTTATGGAACTGGCCACCACTTTTGAAATATTAAGTAGCTCGGTAGGTGGCTCCTGCAAAAAAATGAGTTTATCTTGTGTCATTTACACAATTCCGGCTTAAAAGGAAAATATGGCTTGCTACGCCCTTGATGAATATCACTCGGCGTCTTCTAAAAGTGAATAATGAGATGTCAAACCCATTTAACACAGAATTGCTCTATTTATTGCCTTTTATAACAGGAGCCCAAGAATTAACGGGCCCTAAACATGGAATACAATTCGTATATTTCAATAAAATTAAATTTTGACCTTACGTAGAATCGCAAAAGTAAATAACAAAAGCAATTTCTTAATATTATCCAAATTTAACAATCATCAGGGAAATCGTTGGCTTTGCTCGCGGGAAGTCCGTGATGTAAATTAAAACAGTCCCGTGAGCATTTGTTTGGCCACACTAAGCTTTCTGACGCGCTGAATGTTATCGGTGCCTCGTTTGCACAGACTGCCTATCTGTCCTAATTCATCTTTATCAAAGGACGTCTTTCGAAGTTGGTGGATAAGCTGAAAGGACAAAAAAGGCTAAGTCGTCATCATCATTATTATCAGCGTCATCATCACCATCATCATCACCATCATCATCATCAAAATCATTTTTATTATCATTATCATCATCGTCATCATCATCAGTCCTTTACTTGGCTTACTAAAACACGATATACAATAAATTAACAGCATTTCATGGAGAAGAGTCCTAAAGTAATAATGAGAGTAACTTAATGAAAAATAAAATCTCTATGATCTTTTTCTTAAGGCTGGACGTTTGTTGAACGGTTGTAGTAACTAGTAAACAATTCAAACATTTTAGGGTAATCTGAAATTGCTTAAGTCTTGAAGTAACCAACGACTTGTTCAGAGTTGATGTTGAAATGAAATAAAAAAATGATGATGATGATAATCTTATTTTCGTGTCAATGAATATAGCGGTTACTCACGAAGTAAGGACACGTATCAAAAGCTGCAACTGTATAGAATACATATTATAATCAACAGGTAGCTCTCTTTGGCAAAAAGGAAAGACGTCCAAGAACTATAGAATGTAATGTATTTCTTTGCTTGCCGAAACTCGATGTATGCGTTACTCGGACACCTAGTTCTTACCGCTAAAAATTCTTCAAAATCGATCGCACCGGATCTGTCTTTATCAATTTCATTAAAATACTGCTCCCTTGTGGCGGGCTCTGATCTGTCACCAAGGTCGTCAAGAACTTGCATTCTAAAACACAAAAGTAAAACGTGTCAATAGGGTTGAGGTTACCATGATTCACTAACAAAATTTCGTTACATTTTTATGAATCAAAGTACACTAACTTGTCTGACATTTTAACCAATTGCAAACCTAAATATGGATTATGCGGAGAGGGATATGAATTTATTTTCTATATATAAACAACAACAACAAAAAAACATTCTTAGATTAAGCCCACAGGGACTTGTGAAGTTTACCTCTGGGGATTTCGATACCAATCCAGAAGCCCCATCGGCCGTGTTACCGTTCCGTATTCCCCGTTCACCTTGGACACCTTGAGTATCTATATGCGGATTGTTAGGGCGTGGTCTTTGCAAGCCCCTTAGTGAAAAGGCCGGAGCAGAACAAGTTTACCCAAATCTGCACTGAATCGTTACTGAGGACACAACAGCAAATTTATTCTTCTCTATACTTACAATTCTTGAAAATCGATTATTCCATCTTGATTAAGGTCAAACGTCTGGAATTGTAATCTTAAATCCACTATATCACTCTCATTAAAATCTGGAAATTCTTCTATTAAGGATCGGAAATCTTTTTCACCCATTTCTGTCAAAAAAAAAAGAAGGAACAAAACGTTATAGTTATCTATAGTTAAGGACGTATTGTTGCCACTTTTGTTGGGTTGAATAAAACCCCGGGCATATGAAAAGATACATGGGTAAATGTTTGGCATGTACAGAAGTGAATAATTTGACGGAAGAAATGAAACGCTACCTTGAAACCTTCTTCTGTTATTCGCGGACTTTCTCCTTTCTTCGAGTAGCTTATGCCAATATTGCTCCTGAATTTTCTGAAATTCTGTGTTCTTCAGTTCTGATTCACCGTGTGTTTTCCTTGTTCCTGTAAAATGAAATGACTTTTTGTTTACCGTAAAAAAGGAGTTAGCTTTAAAAATGAATTGAATGACTTCAGTTATGAACACTACAGTTTCGGGCATTGCGTATGCTGTCTAGAATTTAGAAATGCCATAATCATACAAATACTTTGTAAACTCGATGATTTGCAGCTGCTTCCAAAGAGGAATTTTTTAGATTAGATTGTTCTAACCTGTTATATTGAAATATGCGTTAGGCTCGTAGATTACTGGGCTTCTTGCAATAGGATAACTTGGAGCACAACCCATGGTACATTTTAAGGCGTAAACCTGCGAAAAATGAAACAAATATCGAATATATACATTTCCAGCTACAAAATAGACATAGCTCCTTTGAGAATTCTTTTCCTTACGTCATAATCAGTCAATCAATTATCTCATGTTTCATGGTGTTTTGGAAGGTAAGATCTTGCAAAGAGGAAAGAAAGCGAAAGACCTTGACTCAGACGTTCACATCTTCGTTGGTCTGTTTCGAGCTGTTTACGTTTTCAACGAGATGTAGGGAAATTTCAGAGCTCTCCTATAAACTAAGTGTTTTAGTAATTAATGCGCGCGCTTTTTCCGTTATACTGTAATGAGCTCGAGCTGGGTGGTGCGTCTGTCAATTACACACGGTATGTTAAACGCACGGCCGGCCCGAAGGTGGGGAAACTCCCATATGAAAATCGACTGGGATGTTATTTGTCTCGCCTGGGGGTAGAAATTGCACATTTTGGTCTCATTTTGGATGTTTAGGAAGGTAAGCCAATATTTTTACATATAAACGGTATCGCTTAGGGTGATGAGGATGATGATGAATTGATGACGATGTCACGAAATCTTCTAACCGGCCTGGTCTTCTAATAGGGGACACTGCTGAAGAAATACCTACACTGTAAATCAAACTACAAATACCGGCATACTTTGTTGGAGTGTGGTCTCCTTTTGGGGTCAAATAAATCCTTAGCCACTCCCAGATTTCTCTCCTTTAGGGTTGAATTCTAATTTTCCGACGAGCATACCCGTCATTTTCATACGTGAGTCCCCACCCACTTTGTTTTAGATTATTAGTACAGTAAAGCTGCAAACAATTGGATGGAATGGTAATTAATTCTTAGAGCCGAGGTCCAACCCGTTACCCTTTTATATACCATTTTCGACAGTAAAGGTACCCCTTTCGTATACCTTTTATTAACAAATGGTGCCCCTCTCAGATACTAGTTAACAACACTGCATCCCTCTAGACGGCTGTAAATGCACCGTCTGTTAAATATGAATTAATTACTAAATCAGGAAGTTTTCTTATCCTTTTTTCACAGCCATAAAATGCACCTGCTAGATTCTTTAGGTCCTTTCTCAGACTGCAATAACAGAGTCCCTTTCCTTACATATACTAGTGAAATCCTTATACATACCCTGAAAGCTTGAGAAAGGTACCCCTTTCGGGTGGAGCCACCCCGTATAGGTTATTAGTAGGAGCACCCTCCCGGAGGGAACGTCTTAGCTCTGTTGGGATTCCCTCCGGGATTTCCAACAACATCCCTGTGGGGATTCACTGCACGAATCTCGTCGTGCTATTCTGCGGTGGCTTTGGTTTCGCACTGCTGCCTTCCGTGGTTAGCCAAAAAAATCACCCGTGTTATCCAGTCGCAACTGAGCTGCAAAGGGTTTTGTCCCAGTTAAATACGACTTTTCAAGTAACATAACTTGCAATAATTATAATGGTTTTTCAGCCACTGCTTTTCCCCGTCTTTGATATTTCTTTCTTTTCATTTGCTTAGTGCGTACATGCGCAGAGCTTGCTACGTCTCTGAACTGAGCAATTGCCATTGCAATGTTGCGTACGAATTCGTATTCTCTTTAGCCGTGTAACATGAAACTGACGTCTCAAAGATAAACCTTGCTTTACAGTATTGAGTAATATGTACCAACAACAACGACAAACGCAACGCCGGGGAGCCCAGTTTTTACAGAAACATTGCCTCTAAATTAAATGATAAAACATTTACACCTGTAGTTAACTTTTATTACAACTACTTTATTAAGGTCTTTGTAGTTTCCCTCATTCTTGAGAACTTTTCAATGCGGCAATTAAAAAGATAAACTTGCCTATTGCCGGATGTTAAATGATTCTACAAAGGGCCCTTACCGGCATCTATTCTTTCGAGAAGTTGTAACTAACACTCGCCACAAGTATTTCATTACAATAACAAACGCCTAAGAGTTGGCAAAGATACCCGGGTAACCTGTCCTGTGTTCAACTGTCTTTGCAGTGTTTTATATTTGATGAGACAATCTATCTCGTGTTTGATGCAGCACATGAAAATTTCAGTGGCGGATACAGGCCTTCAGGTAAGGGTGAGGCCCGGTAATCCAGACCCTGAGATGGGGGGCGGTCTCAAAAACTTTTCTTTCTAAAAATGAGGGGGGGGGGGGGCTGGATGTGCCACTGCATTTGGCCAGGGCCAAATTAGACCCATTAGACCTGGGCCCAGTTGTTTGAAAGGTGGACTAACAACACTATCCACTGGATGAATCTCTTAAGAGTACAACAAAAACCAAAAGAAGATAGGACAAACAGAGTGACAACAGCTACAAAACAGAAAAAGCGAGAAACAAATTGAACAACCGGAAGCCCTGATCTCGGGCCACATACCAAAGAAAAAAGTAGCAGTCAAGGAGTACTACCCACTGGCTATACACAGTCTTTGAACTTCAAATAGCAACAAGTCAAATGTATACTTTCGTAAGTTATATTCTGTACTGTCCTCTGTTGCCATGGTTAGGAAGGGAAAAGAACACTTAATTGTCCCCTTTTTATAAGGAAATATCCTTCCATGGCTGGCGAAAACACAGCAGCGATGATCAACCCGTTTTTCCAAGTGTTTCATCATGGTTTGGTCAGTCAGTACTGATGGAGCTTTTGCAGTTTTTCGGGAGAAGAACATTCCATTAAATTATCTCCTATTCTTTTTGCACTGAAAAGGGATTAAGGAGATATTCTTTCTGGCTGGAGATATTATTGTTGTCGCAGTGTTTTGGTCAGGAATAGACCCTCCCCTCTTTGATTCCTCTTCATCTACAGCACAAATTTTCTGTTCTGTTAACTCCAATCTCCTTGATTCCTGATATATTCTGCCACGTTGTTGTAATAATTCAGCTTGATCACTTCCTGCCGAGCTGTCTGTATATCACCTGAAAAAAGTTGGATATTCCCAGAAAATGTGATGTGAATGAGTGGGTGTCTGTTTAGGCTAAATGGATGAATAAGAAGGGCTGGTCTAAATATATCAATAAATGGCCACATCTATCGGTCCAATAGTGACCCAGCCTCCAACCCAGCCTAAGATTGTTTAAAAGGACAAAAGCCTTGGAGAGATCGTGGTCCTTGGTCCTTGCTAGGATATACAGTAATTAAAGAAATTATCATTTCTGTATGAAGAAATGAGACTCTTAAAAGCATAACTCGGCAATTGATTTTGCAAGATAAAATAAAAAAAAAAAAAACAGAACGTCTAAGGATTCTAGACCACACAGCTTAGCATTAATTCCGTAAGTTACTCTCAAACAAACTCTTTGGGAAAACAACATAAAATATCAAGACTGCAAAACAGACACAATAAAATGAATAAACAGTATATAACAATCAAGTTTAACACGGTCTCCATATGTAAATGTAACTTCGGTCATTACCTTGTGCAAATGCATCTGAGATGTCTTGAATACACTTCTCCAGGTGTTCTAAAATTTGGAAATTCACAGGAAATTAGAATCAGTCATCCACTGCTCACTCACCATTGACGTAAATGCATGCAATGCACACTTTTCTTGTATGTTGTTAAACTAAGTTTATGATCCTGGTAATACTAATAGTGGTTTTACCAGGGAGGGGGGGGGTTACCTAAGGGAAGTGTGTAGAGGTGTGCTCTGACCCTGTTTGAGACAGAAATGTTTCTCCCCAATACCCTGTTTAAGACAAGCGACCTTATTTTATGATCCTGACTCATTACATTTTGTGTTACGGAATTAACTACCTTTTCAAAGTAGCATCATGGAAAAAGTCTTTTTGGTGCCATCACACTCTTTTAAAAGAATATTTTTTATGGTCCAGAAAGATATCCTGTTCAAGGCACTAAATAGTGAAGTTCAACGAAAATACCTATATAGGCAAAAATATAAGACTACCCCTGGGGGTTTTACTTATTGTAAATTAATGAAGAGAAAAAGAAAATAAAGTTTTCATTCCACTTAACACCCACCATTATTTTCCTTCTGGATTTCCTCTAATCTCTCCTCAGATGAAGATGAAATTTGTTCATACTTTTCCATTATTGCTGCCAAAAATTCACCATCTGTGGATGTTGCTTCACTTTCAGTGACATGTTCACCATGTAAATTTAGCTATAAGAAAAGAGGCAGTTTTATTTTACCCCAGCTTCACAGGTAACATTTAGAGAAACTGTCATGGAATGGTTACATGTTGGCTGAAGTGAAAGCTGTGTGAAAACTGACTAATAAGATAAAAATAAAAAATACAGCAGATTAGAGGAAACAAAATAAAAATTCAAAGTGGTAAAGGAATAACATTAAAATATGTACCCAGGGTGTTCACTAGGCATCGGAGATCGGAGAATTCTCTGTTTACTACACAGAATTCTCTGGCTAACGTTTGGTAGCCTATGACAATTTTTATTCAAATTTGGAGCCTCTTTCAAAATATTCTCCTGTAATGTTACACCTTCCTCCTGCTACTAGAATTCTTAATAAAAACCCTGCGTACCATTGTACAGTCATTAACTTTGTTGGCCATCACAGAAACTTCTTTATCAAAAGAAAGGAGTAGGCGAATGATTTTGCTTCAAAAAACAGCTTTACAGATCAAACTAGACCATAACAGGTCAAATTTGATTTCAAGTTAATTTTGATTTAATCTACAATCTTGGACAAAAATGTTAAGAAAAATGGACATTGTCATGTCTAATTTCAAGATAAAGCTGTTTAAAGCACAAGGCTATTATAAACAACTCCCCTACCTCCCACATCATTTCTGCCCCAGATTGAATGACATGGACTAGGGTGGGGTGGGGGGAGGGCTAATAGTGGTACCAAATTGATCGGGTGGGTGTCCTGTGGGTGAGAAAGTGCAAAATTCTTAATTTTTCATCCAAGATTGTAGCTTGATTCTCAGTTATCTTTGTCTTCTAGCTGTAAAAGACAAAGGAAGTTGAGGATCAACCTAAGTTAAAACATTTAAACCTGAAATCAAATTTGACCTGTACAATTTATTATACATGAGATGCTTCTTCCAAAGTGAAAGACTTACAAGATACAATCCTCTGCTGAGCGGCTTTAATAAAGTTACATAAGCTTCATTTACTCTTGATGACTGTTCCTCAGAAATCTTTTTCTCCTCCTGTCACATGTTGTAAAGGCACTGTCAGTCTATTGTTTTTTATTTAGTTTGTTATAAAACATGATCAAATTATCATCACCATCATCATCAGCAACAACAATCATCAATCTTATCAATCATCCTCACCAGTCAATCACCCTTATCAACATTATCATCATCATCATCATCATCATCCTCATCACTGATGATCAATAATCAATATCTATGATCAACATTTGCCCTTTCACCCTTTCTGTACTAGTGCACCTCCTCTAGCCCCCTAAAATTTTGCATACGCACTGTTTTCAATCAATCTTGGGATGACTGTGATATCTGATATCTTGTCCAAACATTTGGAGTGTAAACAAGGTAAATTGAGGGCAACGTCAAAGTGACAAATTAGCAAATTAATCTTTTACTGTGTAATAAAAATCATGATAATCAATCATGGCCATAAAAGCGATAAGATCATTAGTCATTGACCAAGACTTACAATACTTAAAAAATCTCATTCTCTCTGGTAAAGCTACTTGTAAAGTTACTTGTAAACTATACCTCAGAAACATCGCTAAATTTATCTGGATGGAGTTTCCACTGTAGTTCTTTATACTTGTCATTCAACTGAACTGTGTCGACATCAAATGTCTTGGGGCTAGAAAATGTCAAAAGGAAGAATTTATCTATTAATGTCCAGCATCACAAAATTTGACTATCACCAAAAACAACTAACACTGCATAACATCTTCAAGTTTGTACTTTGCATAGATCATAATAATATTTCCTCAGACCGTTGAAGGATTGACTTAATAATAGGTACTAACTAAATAGAGATCTCGCATGAAAGGGATACTGCAGTATTAAGAGTAAGTACTATGCCAGCTATTGTTCTTGAAGCTAAGTTAAAGCTTTTGAATTTCTGGGATATGCAGAAGGCAATTTTTTTTTTCAAAGAAAAAGTTTAACTGGTCCCAGGGGTGTAGGCATGTTACCTAAAGGCAAAAGGTTATAATTGAAATGAATGACCCTGCTCCTTTTGAAAAAACATGTTAAACACAGGCTACAGTGAATCGTTCAAATTCTGCCCACTAGCTGTACATCCATTTAATAGGGTCTTGACCCAGTCCACCTCAGTTAACCCCCCCCCCAACCTCAGTAAGCTCCCCCACTGATCTTGGATAGTGTCAGACTTGCCAAGTCTCATGATTGGGCAGATGGGGGGGGGGCATACATCCAGACCCTTAGAAAAGGGGGGAGCGTGGTCTCCAAAAAAACAATTTTTCAGCCCTTTGGGCCTCAGTTTTCAGGGCGGAAAAACGTTCTGCGCAAGCTTCTGCGCATTCCTTATCGCAGGCTCAAGGCAGCCTTTTTCTGTGTGTTGATTGTGCTTGTTTGTTGCTGGAGTTCTCAGTGAAATGCACAAGGTGAGAACGTTTGCTCCCTGTGAAGCATTTTTATTTGACATGTTTGCTTTTTTTTTGGTGCTTGAAAATTACTTTGGATTCAGAACAACCAATGTTAAAGGAAAAACGGATCATTCCGTCAGTCTGAGGTGGAATAAAAGGTTTTGAACATTTCTTAAGAGGCAAGTATTTTTCTGATTGTGCATCCGATTAATTTATCAGTTGATTTCGCCGGGTTGAATTAAACCCGCTTGTATTCTGTTATTAGTAGTAACGGTTACTTTTTTTACATGCCCAGATTTATTACCTTTGCAGAACCAGCTTTATCTTTGTCTTCAGTCAAAGAACCATATTGCTGTTATAACACATCAGAGTGAACAAACTTGTGTGCTTTTATTAAACTTTCGCGGAAATAGAAGGCCACCAAACTTACTCAAGGTCATTTTTTTTCTGTTGCTCAAGTAATAATAGTCAGAGTTTTTTTCATTTTTCATTACATAGTTTTGTTTTCCAGTGCACCGTGAAAGTTTCTGTTCTTTATAAGAATAACTTTCTGTACGCAAATTGTCCTTTTCACTCGAGGTAAAATAGAGAACAACAACTGCCGGCAGTGACTTCAAAACAATTGACTCTTTTCCTGTAAACAATTGCTGCAGCTTGATTTGACTAAGGCGAGCAAAACAAACCCTTATGTGCAATTTTCTGTATTTTCTAAAGATCGGCTGAGTTTAATATGCTTAAACGAAGACCTTCGCATGGACCAGTTAACCTTATTGAAAATAGCTAAATGGTGAATCATGGCTTGGCTGCCAAATTGCAACTGATCTTTTGCTTTTAAGATCTTTAGGTACGTTGTTTTCGCACAGAAAATTCATTTATTCATTGTCAGCAAGAAGTTTTTGAAATAATGTAACTTTAACTTTGTTTGAAGGAAACCCTACTTACGCGTAGGTTTTTGACAGATGTTATGCGTGTTTATGAACTTGACAACACAAAGCAAAATTTATATATCTGCGTGAAACGAGCAAGTACAATACTATAGTTGCTTTGAAACCGATTTTTAGGAAGATTTTACTTGATAAAGATTGACCTTTTTTCTGCCCACATATCAACGCAATAACTTCTACATCGAGGATTTTGTTTAGATTTTAGTGATCCGCGAAACTACGAGTGTCCGATCGAGCGAGGGTTTTAAAATATCAGCTCGAGTGCGACAAAGTTCAGTGACTTCAAACACATTGTGGGCAAGCGTTAATTTTTTGGGGCAAATGACTGTCCAAAGATATGTTGTTTTTGTGTCTACAGTGGAGCTCCGGACCTTATATATCCAGGAACTTCCTTATATGAACACATTTTGTGAATGCATCTTGAAAAAAATCGGACCTACGCATGCACATTTTCAGTACAACTCAAGGAAATTAATGTTGTTAAAGTCCGTTTTACTATGAGGTATTCTTCAAGAAAATTAAGTAACGACAAGGTTATAACCACAGCTTGGAACTTTTGAAGACAAATTGCCTGTTCTTTCCAGGTTATGAGTGGAAGCATTTTATTTTTAGGCAATAAAATATTTGAAATCCCGCCATTTTTTCAAACCCAGCCAGGGGATCTGGGCAAAAAAGTTCACGCATGCTCATTACGTTTTTCTGCCCTGAAGCCTCAGTTTGGTCTAAAAATAAGGGAGGGGAGGGGAGGGCTCCCTGGGCCCCTTTCCTGGATCCGCCACTGAATACCTATAATCCCCACTGCAAGTCCTTCCGCTTGGAAATTTGTGACATCTCACGGCTTTTTACCCATTTCTCACAACTTTTCCCCGCAGTAGGTTCAGAATCTCACTTTTTTATCCTTTTGGAGGTTGGCAAGTCTGTAGTGTGTAAATCTCATGAAAGTCCCTGATATCTGCAGAAAAGCCAAATTTTTGCAAATTCCCCGCTATGTCACTGCCGGGAGGGGGGAGGCCGAGAGGACAGGGGAGGGGGAGAGGGGAGGGGGCATTACATTGACTGGTCCACAACAGGGCCTCGTTCTGAATTGTTAACCATCATTTTATTCTAGAACGTCACATAAGGCTTACCCCTCTCGCGTTAAAGTACGCACCTTCCCTGCTAGCGTATGTTTCTCTCCAGGTTGTGTCTGTTATTTTATATTCCAACACTTAACTATGCTCACCTGTCCATGATCTCAAAATAAGTGGTCTTCTTTAATGGACGTTGGATAATATTACACGATGGACAGAAAAATTCGATTGCTGATGTAATTAGAGCCTTGCAATTCCAACATAACCATGTTTTAGTGTCTATTTGGCTCTCTGGTCTGCTACAATACATATACTTTGTCTGCTTCACGATTGACCATGTTTGCATTCTGCGATGCGGAGATGAATTTGTCGTACGTACGGGTATAATCGCAGTTAGTCGTGGAAGTAATCTTCTGATCAGCATGATGTATCAATTACTGTTCTCAGACAATGAAAACTCGACGATAACATAACAAATGAATCATGCAAGAGTTGGAGGAACTTGCGTAGGTACTTAGCACAGTTTGGAGGTTCATACATGAATGGTAGATTCAGATACCGTGGCCTGGTTCCAAAGGTCAAAATGGCGACGATATGGTCACGAAGTTTTGCTTCCACTTTAACTTCCCCTAAAAACCAAGTTTGTAGCATTTTACTTCGGTTCGGAACTGGAAAATGTATGGCAAAGAGAAGGTCTATATCAAACCTCGCCAAGCTCCCCGAGACACACGAAATGTTGCGTCAAACATGCAGAGATTTCGCGGACAAAGAGCTTGCTCCTATTGCTGCAAGTCTCGATAAAGAGCATAAGTTTCCTTTGGAACAGGTAGCGTCACTGAATGTGTTCTGTTTCAAGTTTATCCTTGGGTTGAATATTGTTTTCCTGTTCTTTTTTTTGAATACGGTATTGACTGATCATGAGTTTAAAACAAAAGAAAAACAATATTTGAACCAACGATAAAATCAACGTCATAAATATTTGTCATCATTGTTTTTGTTGCCTTTGTCATGATTTTTGCTAGTGATAAATAACTATAGGATGTTTTAACTCCCCCGGCCCATCCCCCTTTAATTTTTAAACAACTTTCTTCCCCAGACCCTACACAAAGTCAAGGTTTAAGGAGAACTTTTCTAGGACTTTTGAAGTACATTGTGTGGTTTCAAAAATTATCCATAGCTCCACCACAGAAGGGATTTTTCCTTAGACCCCCCACCTCTCTGGAAATTCCTGTCAAGCTTCATACATTTACTTATATTTTTGGTTCTGTGAGAACCCCCCACCCCCCAGGAACTTCCAATCCTTTCTGTCGGGGGGAGTATGGATATTTTCTGGAACTACACATTTATAGGTAGTTCTTTTTAGAGAATTTTGGATTTGAGGAATTCTCTGCCTTTGTATTGGCGGTTCCTTCGATATTGTTCTATTCAACCAGTTGTAATCATTTTTGTTTTGTAAAATACTACTAAGTAGTGCAGTGGAGCAGACACCTGTATATATTGGACAGTTTTGTTGGTCCCGATGAAAGGCTGATATATTTTCTCTCACATTTACCTGTGTAATAGTGACAGAGGTCAATAGGGACGACAGACACTTTTCTGTGTCCTGAGTCACAAACTCTCATATATCACAAGCAGTAGAAAGGATGTGGATCTGCATGTGTGGTTACAGGCAGTTCAGGGAGGAATGTTAAAAAAAAGATAATTCACTAAGTAGTATATCAGAGATAATTGGAGCTTTATTTCAGGCAACCCTTTAATTGTTGATTTAAAAAAGGTACCTGTAACAGCAATGTATCATTTCTTAGCAAAATTTAAAACATTAAACTCATCACAAAGAGATGAGCTTGGGAACTGGTGCCTTTAAGGTTAGCTGCAGGGAGATATTGCTGGCAACCCTGGAATGTAGGAACCACCCAAATGTGTGTCCACTAACTAGCACCATCGCACTAAAATAATTCTGTGGAAAAAACTTACCTAAAAGGAAACATACCCTGACAACCAGACACAACAGTGGGAGAGAGGAGAGGGTGCAAGAATCTGCAATGATTAGCAAGCGATAGCTGTTCTTTTAATCCACAAAGATCAGCTGATAACACTGTACATGTAAAGCAATGAACCTTGAAGCCCTGCACAACCCCCGGAGGCCACCCCACAGGTCACATACTGCCAATGGGGAAGACTGCTGGCTGTATAAGCTCAAGTTTAATTTTGCCCAATTGATATTAAGCCACATAAAAATGAGTCGCCTATAGCTCATTGGTTAGATCGTCCTACTGGTATCTGGAAGGTCATGGGTTCAATTCCTGCTGGGAACTTGGATTATTTGAATCCCAAGCATTTCTTTGTTGTACCTAATATTTAAAAAATACATTATTAATGAAACTGAAATATCCATCAACAGGTGAAAAAGTTGGGAGAACTTGGCCTCTTGTCAATGGAGGTGCCTGAGTCATTAGGAGGATCAGGTTTAGATTACCTGGCATATGCCATAGCAACAGAAGAAATTAGCAGAGGCTGTGCATCAACTGGATGCATTATGAGTGTTAATAATGTAAGTTGATTGACCTAAACATTTGTTTCTTGATCTGTATTGTATTTCTGTGATGATGATTCCAAGCATAAAGTGGTTGAACTTAAAAATAAATTGTAAAGATTTGCATAAATGTGATCTGTATTTCTTTGTTGATGACTCCAGGCATGTAGTGGTTGAATTTAAACTTGTAAATGAAAATCATGTATTTCTGTACACCAGCAGTAATAATAAAATTATATCATTGATTTTTTGCAGTCTCTTTACCTTGGTCCATTGCTGAAATATGGAACAGATGAACAGAAAAAGAAATGGATAACTCCTTTCTGTTCTGGCGAGCGTCTTGGCTGCTTTGCTCTCAGTGAACCAGGTTAGACATTTCAAAATGTAAATAGGTGTATGAACAGCTCCTCACAAAAAAGTCCTCGTCAAAAAGAAAGTGAGTGGGCCAAGGGGTATTTTTGCATAGAGCTCTGCTATTATATAGCTGCAGATTTTTACCCAACAGAGCACACTTTTATTGGTGATTTTGAGGTCATGTGACATCCAAAATAAAAGTGTGTCGTGATAAAAGTCTCTGAATGGGCAAGATGGCAAGATCTATTATGTCAGAGGATATCAATGCGTTCTTCCCCTTGCTGAGATTTGCTTCGTAAATTGGAACATATATAATTTTTGTTACAAAAGGTTTTTTTAGTGAGCTATGTATCACTTTGTGACTGGTCCCGCAGCAAACTAGGTAAATTTGCTTCCTTTCAGATCCTACAGTTTTCTTCTACTCTATCTTGGGAAAAAAAGAGTTCAGATTCGAAACTGGTCAAACCCTGGGAATTTGTCAAAGTATCTCCAGGATTGAGGGTCCAAATGTTTTTAGGGGGTCTAAAATTTCAACAGACCTTGAGGACTCAGATATATTCTTGGAATTTTGGGGTGAAAAAACAAAATGAAGAATTGAACCTGGGGATACGTTTGTTAGGGAAACAGGTGTTTTCTTTTTTTTATTTGGTTGAGATAGGATAATCCCCAGAATTTAGTCAGATGCCTGTTGAGGAAAATACTTGAGTTTACCAACTGGAATTCAAACTCATTTTTTAACACCCTCCCCATTGATGTCCATAGCTAATTAACAGAAGAAACAAAACAGCACCCAAGCAATGTGAATTTTGATGAAAATGACCTAATGTGTTAAAACTTTCAGATAATGGCAGTGATGCTGGTGCAGCAAAGACCACTGCTAAATTAGAAGGAGATCACTGGGTGTTAAATGGAACAAAGGCCTGGATTACCAATGGCTATGAGGCAGAGGCAGCAGTGGTCTTTGCCACAACAGATAAGTCATTAAAACATAAAGGAATCAGTGCATTTCTTGTTCCCAAGCCAACTGAAGGATTGTCACTTGGAAAGAAAGAGGATAAGCTTGGGATAAGGGCAACTTCTACTTGCTACTTGATTTTTGAAAATTGCCGTGTTCCAAAGGAAAATCTGCTTGGAGAGCCTGGTTTTGGTTTCAAGATTGCAATGGTAATAACCAACTTTGTTCTTCTATGTTTTCTGCAGAAAAAAGGAAAGATTAGGCCTTTGCTTTTATAGTTGTTAAAGATTCATTTTGTGTTTGTTTTTCAGGCCACACTTGATGCAGGTCGTATTGGTATTGCTGCTCAAGCACTAGGAATTGCTCAGGTATTTTTTTTGTTTTACCTTACGTATAGATCATTAAACTCTGAAATGGCTTGCTTCCTCAGAGTGCTCGTGTACCAAATGATCCCGGAACATTGAACACTCTTGAACACCACAAAACATGTCAAATAAATACAGTCGAACCTTGATTATCCGAACTGGTTTCCCTGGTCCTTTTTTTTCATGAATATTAACAAGATGTGATCTTAAAAAATTGAAATGATTAAAAGTTTATTAATCCTTCCAAACCTGTGTTTAAAACACTGTTTTAATCTGTTTCAAACGTGAACACTTGAAACAGTAACTTTTTTATTTGTAATTAATTCACAATTAAATTCTGTTTTCTTTATTCCCAATGTTTACATTATTGTTTCATTAATATTCATATTTTCCATTATCCGGACTTTACTGAAGTCCCAGCGAGTCCGGATAATTGAGGTTCCACCGTAAATTAAAAAATGAAACAGCAGAAATAATAATATTAATATTTTCAGGACAAGGGTTAGAGTTTCTGTTTACTTTTTTCATTTTACCTGTTACCTGGTTTTCTATGTTGTTCTTTTGGTGTTCTGGATGATATATTCCGGATAGAAGCAACTGTGATTTTCCCTCAACACCTGTGTCAGGACACAACTAAAAAAACCTACTTCAAAACGTGAGTATCTGATTATCCCAGAGTCCAGGGAGAGGATGAATGGTCCCGAATAAAGGTTTAAATTTTTTTTAAAACCAATCCTTATGATGTTTATTTTAGGCAGCATTAGAGTGTGCCATTGACTATGCACAGAAAAGGGTTGCCTTTAATCAGCCAATCTCACAGTTTCAAGGAATTCAGGTATGTCGTTTTTTGGATATTTATGAATAGAATGTGCCATTGGTTCCCAAGAGTAGTTGGAAGTTTTGTGTGAAACTCTGGCTGTACTCCCTAAACCAGAAAGAAAGTCAATAATTTGTAATATTGATAGTGTTTGTTGTAGCAGAATAATAATGGTTGATATTGTCTCATTACAAACAGATGAAATTAGCTGATATGGAAGTGAGGTTACAAAGTGCCAGGCTATTGAATTGGAAGGCAGCAATGCTTAAAGATGCAGGCGAAAATTTTACAAAGGTGTGTTGGTATTCAAAGTTAAAAGTGTCCAGTTAAGTTTTTACAAAAAAGTGTGACCATAGGTGTGTCTTTTTTCCCCTTTCTTGTAGGAGGCGGCCATGGCTAAGCTAGCAGCATCTGAGGCTGCCACCTACATTTCACATCAGGTACATCTATTTTTATAATATCATTGACTCTGGTGGTAAAAGGGTTTACATCTCACTCTGCCAGGTTGCACAGGCTGTCCACTTAAACTAACAGGACCACCAATTAAGTGGCCCATATAAAGCCCTTTCTGAGCTTTGAGAGTGTAGCCTTTCTAAAAGTGTACTGTTTTTTGATGGTCTTTAGTGCATTCAAGTCCTTGGAGGTATGGGTTTTGTGACAGATATGCCAGCAGAACGATACTACAGAGACGCACGGATCACAGAAATTTATGAAGGAACAAGTGAAGTACAAAGAATAGTGATAGCTGGAAAACTTTTGAAAGAATATGATCAATGACATCTTAATCTTGGCTTTTATTTAAATATTTCTCCAATTTCAAGGGTAGTATTTCAACTTTTTTTAGCATAGTTGAAATGTTCAATTTTACCACCTTTTTGGTTTGGGAAATGGAAGGATTTACCAAGGGGAGTGGTTGCAGGTGGAAGAGAACTGAGCTGCCTAATCAATAAAAAGTTAAATGGTTTGTTGTTGTACCTTAAATGACCTAATAAATGCCTAGGACATTTATTTAATTTTAGGGGTCCAAGCAGGGACTTAAAAGATAAATGGTGTTTATTCTCTTAACTTTCAGAAGCTCAACTAAAACCCAATATGCTTGCAGCAAAAATATCACAAGAGTTTAAAAATTGTGGAATATCCACTTCATCAATTGATACGTCTAAGCCATCTAAGATCCATATTCTTTTTCAATCCTCAACATCAAAGTCAGAATCCTTCCTCGGGATTATTGTGTTGCCATCATTAGTCTATCTGTACTTTGAACTTGCCATTGAACAAGATGAAATAAAACAAAAAACTGATAAATGACTTTGCTCCTTTTTGCCAGGGGGTGTCTATTAGACAGGGGGCATTTATTGGAGAGGGGCTGGGCATCTTATACAATTTTAACAGCATAGAGGGGGGCATTTATTAGATAAGAGCCATTTATTTGGAAGTGGGCATTTATCAGGTCATTAAGGGTAATTTGAAATTTGTTTTTCAACAGCAAATTTGAAAGGAGGATCTCACGGCTTAGGTTGTGGATCAACGTGGGGCTTTTTTTTCAGAACCCCATCATTGTAAATCACAGTCTGTTGGTCAAAATAATGTACAGAGTTTGTCAAAGTGAGCAAATGCACATGAATACCTGTGGGCTGGTGCCTTGTCTTTGTAGACAAGCAGTATTAATATGCTGTTAACTGAAAGAATGCACTTGGTAATACTTTCTTAATTTACTTTAGCTTTATACATGTACATGTAAATGACTGTTGTATTGTAACATACTTGTTTTAAATGTACATGAAAAAAACAGACAGGATATTGTTATTACCTAATACATGTATTATAATGCACCTAGTATGTGTTGTAGTAAAGTTGTTCCAAACTAAGCATGAACATATTTTTTTGACATAATGTACATTTTCTTTACTTTTGACTCAATACTCAGGGCTCGAAATTGCGACTCACTGGTCGCCAATGCGACCAAAAATTGAGCACTGGCGACTAAATTTTCAGAACTGGTCGCCAGCTGGCGACTCGCGTTTTGTCCGATGACTAAAGAAAACCACGACACAACTTTTGTTTTTAAATCTT